CCAAACCAAATTATCCAAATAGTACCGGTTAAAACGGTTACCACGGTAACCAAACCGTTTGAACACTCCTACGTTATGTGGAGTTCATAGTATTTCGCTTTTCTGATTCTTTCTTGTATCAGCTCATTTTGTATGATTATTAGGAGTTCTCCGAATCCCGTTTGGTATTGAATGAAAGCGCGTGCTTGTTTAGAAAAAAAAAAGTTTCTCAAATTGTGAGAATTTTAGATTTGTTTAAATGAAAAAAAATTGTATTCTATCAATAAAGTATTTGAAGTTTGTTATTATGACACTGTTAAAGTCCAAACTTTTATCACCTATTGTCCTGCATTTTAGTGTGGTTCTTCTAGATCACAGATGATAGAGGGGAGCTGAAGCCCATTAGGAAAATGAAGAGCGCTGAAGATTGGACTTACATTTGGGCCCAATCAAGTTGTAGCTAAACAGCCCACAAGATAAGGATCGATATTTGGATGAATCCACCAAGCAAAAGATAGAATACTAGTGTTGATTTATTAAGGCTTGAATGACAAGAAAGACCCATATAAAATTTTCTCCGGTGTTTGTGATCACATAGTCTATTATACTTTGTTGGGTTATAGCTATAATATGTCACTCTATTATAATATTTTATCAAATATGTGCTTTTACGGTTTTTTACATCAAACATGTCCATGTACTTTGTAAAAATTATCAAATATACCTTTTTGTTAAAATTTTCATCCAAAAACAATTAACCAACGCCGAACTTTGGTTTGGGCGACACAAATGTCTAAAATATCCCTAATAATTTCACTTTGAAATTTTTTTTGGTTATTTTGTATAGCTAAATAATTCAAATAATTTTACTTTGAAGAGACCTAGAGAAATAAAACGGGGACAAAATTGATATTTTCCCTCCCATTTGCTGATGTCAGGTCATCTAAATCTCGGTTCATACATGATTGGCGATTTTTTCAATGAAAATTTTAGCAGAAGTGCATGTTTGATAATTTTGTCAAAATACAGGGGCATGTTTGATGTAAAAAATAGTATAGGGGCATGTTTGATAAAACGTCATAGTAGAGGGGACATATTATACCTATAACCCTACTTTGTTACAACATTCATAGATCAATCTCATTTGAATGCTAGATCTAAATTTTTTATAGAGGTATTAGTTAGTGATCCAACTTTTGTTTCATTTTATTGTCATTACGATTGCAAGGTTTGTGGGCAATATATGTGTGGTGTTATCTTTAAACTTTAATATGAAGATCTAATAATAAAAAAAGAAAAGCGTATGGCTATGTGACCCAATCGAATTTTATGAAAAGTATTAAGTTTCAATTTCTTGCGAGTGAAGCAAAAGTTTGATCATGTGTTATGACCCACCTAGGAAGTGAACTAGATTGCAGAAAAAGGAAAGAATTGAACAAGATTAATTAACATATTTGGAAATGGTTGAGAGTTCATATCATAATTAATATTGTTTTTAATTCGATTTCTATTTCACTTTTATTTGTAAGTTATGATACGATCATGGCATTATTATCTTTCTTTTTAATTGTGTGTAGAGCACTACTACATTTTAAGCGTTACTAGAATGAACTAAAAATTTGCTATCAGGAATTTAGGATAATTAGTAAAACTGTGATTATTAGGGGGGGGAAAAATTAGTGTTCTAAGTCTAAAATCTGACAAGTAGATACTAGATCATGCCTTTTATTGAGTTGAATATCATAATGGATCTTCAATAAAGATGACAATCTAGTCTATAATCTATATCAGCAGTTAATTACATATATTATGATGTAATATTCGAGTCAAAGGATTAAAAAACAAACAATAAAACCGCCAACAGATTTTCGAAAGAAATTCATGTGATAATATTCGGTGGATATAACATTGGTCTTTACATTTACCATCAAATTGGGAGATCTGGTACAATTGTACAATATTAAATATTAATACCCATCTTTGGAGTATTGACGAGCCGCTTAATTATTGAACCCCAACCTTGGAAGTTAGCAAAGTTGCGGCCATATTTTTAGTGGTCAATTTGACGGTAATTGTTAGACATTTTACATTTTTACGATGTTGTTTCTTTTGGATCAAGATCTTACATATTTGTTTTCGAGCATTCGTGGCATCTCCTCAACTGATATGCTTCATCAGCGATCTTGTTTCGTCATAGTTCCTTCGATCTGTCGATCATCTTGTACTAGCATATGTCTAGAAACAAAGAAGTAGACAAACCTTATATTTCAATATCACTTGTTGAGAATCTTCCTTTGTTTTTTCATGTGTAGGACTTGAATCGTACACCCTAACTGTTATTAGTACCAGTTCCAAACCAACATCGGACTTAGTTTCCAGTTTAGAGTTCCTCGTACGTCCATTTGAATTAATAACCAAGGCAGTTAAAAACGCGATTTTACCTTCTTCTTTTTTTTTTTTTTTGACAAAAGATAATCATATAGATTGATAAGAAATAGTTACATCAAATGGGAGTTATCGGCTAATAAGTAATAACAACTTTGACAGCGGCGGATCCAGAACACAGAAGTGCACTGGGCCGCATTTTATTAGAAAATTAGAATAGTAAAAAAATATAATGATTATAATTTTTTTACAATGTAAATTGTACACGACGGTATTTTAATTTAGCGAATGCATTAATAATGGAGTCCACATCCATACCAATAGTATACACTGTTTCAAATAAAATACTTGAGCAATCGACTAGAAATCCATCGCTCATTTTGTTGCGCAAATCAATTTTCACATGTTTCGTTGTTGAAAAGGTTCTATTCGTATTAGCTGTTGAAACGAGCAACATCAACACTAGACAAATCAATCTACTAATCATTTTCCATTGTGTTTCCATCCCTATATCCACCAGCTGCTCTAGTAAATTTTCCAAAGTAACAAACCTCATATATGTTTTAGTCTTTTACGTTTTAAACTTTTTGAATTTTTAGGTTTCATTGTTTTTTTAGACGAATAACCTTTGGGGTTAGAATTTATAAGCTAAATTTAGAGTAGTGATTTTGAATATGTTCATCTGAATTATTTTTCTAATTATACCCAATCTTATTTTAAAATAACAACGACCCGAATATCTAAAATCGAAAAATTCATAAGGTCTATACTAACTATGGATCCAGAGGAAGGCTGGGCCGGGGCCCGGGGTGGCCACCCCCTGGATCCGCCACTGAACTTTGATCTTGTAGGATTGTATCACCAGACGACTACATTTTTTTCCAGTAATGATACTTCTTCGTGCTTAAAAGATGGTAAACCCCGATCCATGAATAGTCGGCAAACTCATCTAATTGATCCACCCTAATCATCTGTCTAGGCCATGAAATTTATAAAATTCTTCTAATTAATAATTACATAACTTCTAATAAGCTGTAAAATCAAATAGTTTATTGTGCTTAATCCTTATTATGGAGTATGGACTCTCCACAGTAATTAATCTTTTCTTTCAATGGTTAATAAATTGTAAACTCTACCTCAACCTCATACAAAGTATGGTACTCCACCACTAAGCTTCGTCAAATACATGAATAGAAGTAAGGATGAAAATCGATGCACTATCAGTATTTCAGTACCAATCACCAAATTAAATCTCTTCAAAACTAATAAGTATATAAAAGTAATTACTTCTCATATGCGAGCAGCTCAGCAAATCATTCTCAAAATATGTAAAGAAAAAAAAATGGTGGAAACACTTGTGCAAAACATACAGGGAAAAGTCTTCAACTATAATAATAACAAATTAGGGAAATGTAGTGCATACAGCGGCGGATCCAGAACACATAAGAGCACTGGGCCGCATTTCATTAGAAAATTAGAACCGTAAAAAATATAATAATTATAGTTTTTTGCAATGTAAATTGTACACAATTGTATTTTAATTTAGGGAATGCATCAATAATGAAGTCTACATCCATACCAATAGTATACACTGTTTCAAATAAAATACTTGAGCAATCGGCGAGAAATTCATCGCTCATTTTTGTTGAGCAAATCAATTCTCACATGTTTCATTGTTAAAAAGGTTCTCTTCATAGTAGTTGTTGAAACGAGCAGCATCAACACTAGATAAATCAATCGACTAATCAATTTACATTGTGTGTCCATCCCTGCACACCAGCTGCTTTAGTAAATTTGTAAGGAACAAACCTCATATTTCTTTTAGTCTTTTACGTTTTTAACTTTTTAGAATTTTAGGTTTCATTATTTTTTTAAGACGCATAATCTTTGGGGCTAAAATTTCTAGGCTAAATTTAGAATAGTGATTTGAATATTTTCAACTGGATAATTTTTCTAGTTAAACCCAATCTTATTATAGAATAACACTGGATTGAATGTCTAAAATCAAAAATTTCATAAGGACCATAATAACTACGGATCCAAAAGAGGGCTGGGCCGGGGCCTGGGGTGGCCACCCTCTGGATCCGCCGGTGAGTGCATAAGAATAAAATTAACAAACTAAAGCAACAAACTGGAACAAGAGACGATTAAGTAGCTCATGAACATACTACAAATAACAAAATGAGCTTGGTCCAAGCTGTCAAATAGTGAGAAAATGAATTATATATGATTGTGTGGTCATTTTCACGATTGTGGGTCGGATACTAGTGAGTTAGAGAGTCTAACTAAAATTAATAAACTAACTTAAATTTTGATATTCATAAATATTTTGGCCTACTCTTAGCATAAGCCGATATCAATCTTGTAATTCCTACTATCAAATTAAATATAGTTCCTACTATCAAATTAAATAAACTTAAAATTCAATCTCAACAAAAAAAAAAACGGCTTCTACTCACCTAGTCCATACTAGTAGTAGTAGATAGGGGAAAAGGAGACGAAAAAAAAACAAAAAAAGGAATGAAATTTGCGGAATAATTACAAAACGTGCGGTCAATTTCCTCGTAACTATATATCGGCAAATATTGTAAAAAAAAAAAAAAACTATATATCGGCAAAGAAGTGACCCCTCGATTCTTCCATTCCATTAACAAAAAAAAAAAAACGCCTCCCCTCCTTCCTTCACCACTCCTCCAACCCCACTCCCTTTCCGATTCCCCCACCCGCCGCCGCTCGCCGGTAAAGTCCCCCACCGCCGCCGCCTTCTTGATTTCCCGTTCTCCAATTTTCAGCATCTTCTTCATCTTGTTCGCCAGCCATGTTCAATTTCGGAGACGAGTTGACGCTCCAGAGCTCCAGGATTCCATGGCTAATCTGGATTCAGATTCTGGTCCTTGCCCTCATCATCTTCCTATTCTACTGCTTCAGCTTCTCCACCGACGATGCCTCCCTATCATCCTCCTCCTCCGCCGGGCCCGCCTCCGCCGATTCCCCTTCCTCCAGCTACCGCCGAGATCCCGACGTTATGAAAAAGATCGCGAAGCACGGCGGCGATGTTCCGACGACAGTCGCCGATTACGTCCGTCAATGTCAGGTAGGTCTAACTGATTCCCCCCGATTCTAGCTCCAATTTCTTCTTTCGATAGCTTTACGTTTCTTCCTTTTCGGTCGTTTTGCGTGCCGTTACCGTCCGTGTTTGGTGAGACTTTTTTGTTTTTTTGTTTAATTTGTTGATGAACTCGATAGGAGCTGTTTGGCTCTTCGCTTAACTTTTTTTGGTTTCTACTTAAGCTCCGAAAAAGGATATTATGAGTAGGAGCCTAGGAGGCATGGTTGTCATGCCGGTGGCATGCCACCCAGTTGAATTTGGTTCAAACTGTATCGGTTATGAAATTGGCATGACACCACCGGTATGACCGGTATGATCGGTATGATCGACTTACGCGTTCTAAGTAAAATGATATCATTTTAATGAATTTAATGAATAAAAAAATTAATTTATTATTATAGTTAAAAGTTAATGATATTTGTTGGATTGTAAATTGTCCACATATATTAATTACATTGGATATTAATTGTTTTCACATTTTTTTAAACCGGCATGAACCGGCACAAGCTGATTATATCACCGGTCGTACCATTCCACTTGCCAAACCGACACAACGATATAAACCGGTTTGACAACCTTCCTAGTAGGGGATAAAGTTGAAGAGAAGGTCGCTGCTCTGTTTTTCTGGCGTGTTTCAGTTCAGGGTCAAAGTACAGTTGTCAAAACGAGTTGATAAAAAAAAGAGGGGACCAAAATCATTCCTTGATAATGAAAGTTGGTTCACCATCTAATTTCGAGCTAGGAAATTGGGTGGTTATCAATTTTTTTTAAAGAAAGAGTAATGATATTCTTGGTTGTAACTTACATTACCAGTCTCGTCAACATCATTATGCCTTTTGAGTAACTCGGGCGAATGATAGCGGCAACCCGGTAGGAATGATTGTAATTTGTAGATGAATGACGATGTTAACGTGAATATTCTGTGTGTTGACTACATTTGTGGGTATCTTAGGTGTTTGATTGACCCTTGACATGGCTACTTTTGTAACGAAAATCATCCACGAAGTTTTCATTTTTGTTCACTTATTATTTCGGTAAAATCAAAAGGTCGAGATTGAATGAAACCATATAACATAATGCAGGCCACAAATGTCATGTTTTGTCAAAGATCAGATCATCCAGTGAAATAAACCCTGAATTGAATCCAACTATTGTCTATTAAGTCAGATCAAGATTTTATCTTTTTATCATTAGATGCTTGCTAGTGGAAAAGATTAAAAGAAAAACTCTTTCTTTCGAAGAAGAAGAAGAAGAAGGGGAGGGGGAGAGAGATACACGTGAGCATCTTTTGGACTCCACGAAGAATCATATAACAACAATATAGATTAAATATATTGCCTTCCTTCAACTATTAATTCTGCATAGGCCCAGTTCCAGCGTTATTCGCTGTTCTTGTTGTCGACTTGTATTCTGTCATATGGTTGGTTTTAATTAATAATAGAAGGGTCAGGTCTCATTCATCAATGGATAGACTGTATATGGTAGGGCAGAGAAGGACGGTGGATGGCTTTGATGGTTTTCATTTGTTTATCTATACAGAGTTCACACAAAAAAAATGTCCTTATCTGATACTACAGCAATGTCAAGTCAACTGTAATTGGTCTTTCTTCAAGCACTTAATATTGCCAGTATCTCTGCTATACCATCAAGAATCACTTGACTGTGTTAGGGGAACTGGTAGCCTCTGTTGTTCTGTTAGCTTAGTCACGAGACTAGCCGAGCAAATGATCTTACGCACGCGTTTCTTGAACCCCCGAGAATTCGGTTTGATTTGGTTTGCAGCCAGTGTGTTTAGGTTGGTATTCTCATATTGGTTGTTCTGATTGGTTTTGAACTAGAAAGAGTGTATTTATATTCATCCATTTCTGGTTGATCAAGCTTCCTTCTTTTCACCCATGGAGTCCTACTTTGTTAGCTTTTGCTTCATGCTAAGGCTAGGCTGCTAGGAAACTCTGCATCAGAACAGCATTCAATCACAGGTTTTCTTAAAAGTACTGAAAGACCAAATGCATCAACAAATGTATAACCCGGCTTCTAAAAATTGTTTCTTTCTCAGGTGACTAGGAGCCAGAGCATAAAAGGAGAGGTAGCAATGCCGGCGACCACAGGGAGAAGAATAGTGAGGGAAGAAGCCACAGAGGGGGATGCGGTTACTAACTACCATCCCTGCAACTACATCAGGCTCGCTAAGCTGGTATTCCTCAAATGCTTTGGCCTCGACTGCGAACTCGAGCGATCTTCGAGCTCCGAGAAGAAGAAGCGGAGATGACAGTTTTAGTTAGGCACTGAAACTGCGGTTTTTCTCCAATTTCGTCTGTCTAGATTCAGTCCTGTATGTATGTATGTTTTGAGGTTAAGCTCGGAGGGCTTGCGGAAGCACAGGAAGGTCTCTACTCTCTACTGGAAGTCTGTAGATGAAGCAAATATGAGGTTGATGGACATGGATGAAGAAGGGCCATTACAATACATGGGGAAGGATTCAAGCAAAGGTGGACTGACTTGACTTCAAAGGCCTCTCTTTGACTGTTGTGAAAACGCTTGAGATGTTAGGTCTTTGTGAAGGAAGGATGCCCTGATTTATGTGCAAAGTCCAAATTTGTAAATATTTTGATCAATTTAATTCTATGGCCAACACGAGATGTAAATCCTAGCATTTACAAGTATACATCATTGGTTAGTGAATATTGCAACAACAAAAGAATGGATGAAGCTTAGCAGTTATTTGATGATATGTTTGAGAAGGTTTTGACTCCTTTTACGGTTCGACAAAGTTTAGAGGCTATTCAATTCTACGTTCAGTAATGGATGCAAGGCTAGTGTTTCCAGTCATAACTAGGGGATGGCAATGGGTTGGGTTGGGGCGGGTTTTGTCAAACCCAAACTCATGGGTTTATCCGCCAAAAAAACCCGAGGTAAAACCCGTTGGGTTTGAAAAACTCAAACCCAACCCGCTGGGTATCCGCGGGTTCATGAGTACCCGTGGGTTTTTGTGGTAAAAATTTACAATAACAAGTTTCTTTCAAAATAAAAGTTTAACATCAATTTTCTCATACAAATTAATCATACAAAAAACACCAATCTAGAGCATACAAGCAAACCGCAAATGATCAATACAAATTGTTCAAAATTAAAGATAAACATATATAAACAATAAGATTAATTGAAACCTTCTTTCTCGTCAACTAAGTTTCTTCACTCTCCACTTCATAATATCAACTTCATTCTAAACAATTAGAAAAAACAAATTATACATGTCTCCGCAAACATATAGAATATTAGTTATTTAAGGAATATATATTATCTAGAATATTAAATAATACCGGGAAAGTAATTATATGTGTGGGTGGGTACCCATGGGGCGGGTTTACCTAAACCCAAATCCAATCGACTCAATGAATAGTGTAGCGGGTTTAAATCCGAACCCGGCCCAAAACCCGTCAACACTGGTTGGGTCGGGTGGGTACCCGTAGGTTCGAGTTTTGTTACCATCCCTAGTCATAACATCACGGTTCATGGATATTGCAACAACAAAAGAATGGATGAAGCTGAGTAGTTATTCAACTATATGTTTGAAAAGGATTTTGACTCCTAATTATAACGCTAGACATCTAAGAGATTATTCAATTTTATGGTCAGCACGAAATGGCCGTATACCGCTATAATAACATCACAATAACAAAAGAATGGATGTAAGTCGAACAATTATTTAATGAGATTGTCTGAAAAGGATTCGGACTCCTTGTATGTAACCATATGGGCCCAATGATCCGTCTACCCCCCAATACCAGAGTCCGGCCCAAGTCACAACTCCAGTTCACCACCTCTTCCATTTCAACTGCCGTTCCCCGCAGGTTCGCAGAATTGCGGGTCCAAATGTAACTACGGTCCGCTTGGAAGTTGTGATTTCAAATAGTGTATTGAGCTAATTTATGGATTTGTAATATTAAGTAGTTTTTTTTCCCTTATATTGAATTAGAATACATGTATTAGTTTTTTGAAGGTCCCATCACAATCACTCAAAATTTAGTGGTTATCGATCTCTATTTTTGTTGAGATTCTTTACAATCGCTCAAAATTAACTTTTATGGTCTTACAATAAACACAATAACTAAACCTCCAAACAAGATATTTGTCTGATACACCAATTGATTCAACACATCAAATGACAATATACTAATTGACTCAATACATCAATTTGAAAAATCACAACTTGCAAACAACCCTTACAATTAACATTGTAGAAGTGCTACTATAAAGTCAGGTTTCAAGCAAAGGTAGTCTATCGATAACAGAGAGCATGAAGAAGGTACTACTAAGTAGTAGCCATAAGCAAGGAATCTCACTGAGCAACAACAACAAACTCATTCTATAATAATACAATCATAGACGCAATCTCTGAGAATGGGTTCCTATCCAAAGCTTTAGATGTGTATTTTTAAGATGAAGGATAAAAGAATTCACCATATGTAGCTATTTATAGTTGCTTGATTCGTGGTTGATGCGTCTCAAAGCGAAGTGAATGGAACTATGTTATTGTTAGTGGAGAGTCAAGAAATCTGAATGAGAGGATGATTTGAATTGTGATAACAGGGAGAGGGGATTGTGGCATTATCAACTACTCTATTTTTTTAGATTTATTATGAATAGTAGAAGATATTTTAATTATATTTCAAATTTGAGAGGAGTTACAATCCCTTCTAACTTAAAATTAGCTCTCCCAATAAATATTATTGGACGAAATGATAGGAAAAAAAAAATGATCATGTCTAGGGGCGAAGCTAGCATGGAGGAAGGGGGTTCCATGGCACCTCCTTGCCTTGTTATTTCAACAAGAAAATATATATGTACTTGAAAAGCGAACCCATTTAGAATATAAATAAGCGAGAATTGAAAAATCGTATCGGAGGTTGTATAGAAAAAGTCAACCGTTTCATACCGTTAAACACCGACTCTGTCGATTTCACTTCATATAAGAATTTTTATTTGTTGAACCGCTGGTACGTCATGGTTTTTCAATTTTCAATTCTTGGAAATAAGTACTCAATTGCACCCTCGAGTTAGTGTTTGGTAGGAAAAATTAATATTTTTTATCAACTTAGGATAAAAACTAAAAAATTTATTAAAATTTATCAAATTCTGGCTATCATGTCCAACCTTGGGGATGGGATTAGGTGCTAACCCTTATAGGGGTTAGCATCGTGATAACTAGCAAAAAACGCTACTAAAAATAACGAAATCACTACGGATTATTATAAAATCAATACAACATCTAAGCTAAATCACTACTAATTCAAACTAGTAGTAGTTTTTCCCTTGGTTAGGACGGTGCTAACTATTGTACAATTAGCACCGTAGCCGCCCAACCTTGCTATCACCTATCAGGATTCACTCTAGTCCTGTGCCATAAGGCTCAATGGCATATAGCCTCACAAATTTTGGGGCCTCGGCCCATCAAAATATAATGAATTATGCATTTTTTTTTTGTCATAGATAGTTTGTAATAGATAGAGTGTTACAATGCATTGGAACTATAAAGGCGGTAGTCAACCAACTGGGTTGCTACCGATGCAAGGGCCGTTTGTGCCACGCGATGGGCAGCCCTGTTAGTATGCCTAGTAACATAAATAAACCAAAAAACGCAAAGAAAGTCTTCTTTCAGCAAACTCCTTCAAGCACCAATTCTTCGAGTTCCAACAGCCGAGCAGTAGATTGGATGTGCAAGGTACCTACAAAATAACACGCAGACAACCCCTAACGGGACAAACAAAATTAAAATACAACTGGACCTCCACCGAAAATGCCTCACAAGCTATACAAACTATGCCTTCTGCAGCACAAAAACAAAAATGGCAAAGCCAACTAGTAGAAGAAATATACTCCATGTCCGACGACAACCAAATCCTCCCTATCATTAAAAGACATCGAATTACAAAACAATTGCAACTCCCATAAAAATACCAAACACAATCGTAAACATAATAATAATTAAATATGAATTGAAGAAAGAATTAATAGACTTATCTGAATGCAAGATAGGATCCGTGTTTGGAATTGTGACTGCCTATCCATTAGAATTTTAATGGTCATGAAATTATAACCGTCCGAAGGCGGAGCGTTTTGAACAAGAAGGAAGCCACGGGAGAGGTAACTGCACAAAGATGTAACTGCAGCCACTAGCCTGGCCGATCGTCGGCAAGACTCGTCACCCGCTGGAAAGACTCACCGAAGATCCCAGCCCGCAACTCCTGCAAAAAGATAGGTAAAACTCACCGGAAAGGGTGTCAGAGATGGGGAAACACCACGAGCAGCTATGCACAAGGGCGTTGGGCAGCAAATTGCTGGAGCGCACAATTGCGGAAAAGAGTGAAAATCGAAATCCGTCGAACTCGACCCTTCTATCGAGAATCATCGTTAGTGCGTGAACTTCTTATCTGACACGAGATTAGCGGAAGAACCTCCCCCAAAAGTGTAACTGTCATAGTTGTATCTGCTTCTTGAATTGTAACCGTCGGAGTTCGGCCAGCAGTATTGGTGCGCCTCCGAAACTGTAACGAAGCGGGTAGTTCCCAGGGGTCGAAATTGTAGAGATCGACTTCGGCGATTATGGAGACCGGAGAGGATGGACGACGCCTTCTTCTTGAGATCAGCATTGTGAATTCTTGTTTTCTAGGCATATCTTCCCATTATGTAGTAGATGTCTGACCGTCACGACGCTGACTTTGTTGTTGCGGTTACGATGATGTTTGACAGAAGGCAGTCACTCGACAGCGGCGGTGGCAGACAGGAGAAAGGCCGACGACGGCCGACGAGGAAATCCCGATCTGTTGGCGGTGCTGGAACATGTTGCCTGCGATGATGTTGGTAACAGCCGCTCCAGAACTCTCACAACTGCAATGTGATTTGGCCCTTTGAAAGTTTGGATAATTTTGGGTGGACGGTTTTCTGGCGATCGCCGGTGACGGTGGAAGAAGAGAACCGTCTTTCAGTTTCCTTTTCCGCGCCTGCGTTTCTGTCGTGATAGATTTGACCAAGAAAAGGAGTCGCTTTGATCACGGTAATGAATTATGCATTTAGTTTTGAGCTTGTACAAAAAATTGATTTTGGTATCTGATAAAATTTTGGGGCCTCAGTCCATAAGACTAGTGAACTAGTAGGTTTAGTTTTGGACTTATGCAAAACTCGATTTACATAATTTACATGGCCTCAAAACTTTCAAGTCCTGCATTTAGTTTGTGGAACTGGGCTCAAAAATTTCATAGCTTGCATTTAGTTCACACAACAAATCAGATAGAAGTTTGGAGATTATTTGATTATATGGTCAACACGAGATGGCAGTCCAGTGATTCATGGATATTGCAACAATGAAAAAAAAGATGGAGGTAACTAAAACGTTATTTAATGATGTGTTTGAGAATGATTTTTTATACTTAATACGATTGCGTAAATAGCAAGAACATCATTACAATTTACAACCGTAGTAAAATACGGTACGAGAAATTTACATATAAAATGCGTACGGGTCTTTTATTTTGTCTTTAAATTAATGCTACGTTTAATTGTAAGCTAATAGTTATGAATATATAAAATTTTATTATTTTAAAAATAAATAAATATATAAATAATAGTAAACTTAACAATTTAATTCATTAAATACAGATATTAAACGTGTTATACGGGATTTATATGTATTTAGTAAAGAGCCATCAATTGAACCAAGGACGGAGCTACCTTGTGCCTCGCCCCCCCCCCCCCCCCCCGAAATTTTGGAGATCGCGTGTAAAAATATCGGGAATTTTGAAAATTATGAAGAAGTTAACTATTGTAGAATAACAATAACGTGCAATAATGAGTAACAATGTCTCTGTCTAGTCTAACGAAATGCAACAGCTGCCTGGTATTTGTGAATACCCAGTACCATGGTTCAATCCCTGGCAACAATATTGGTTTTTTAGTTTTCCTACTTTGGTTGTGTTTTTGTTTAAAATTTAGACTGATCACTTAACTTTTGTACTTATTCAAATACTTTTTAATTTCAAAGTTCAAACTAGATAATGCAATTTTGGAGCTTATAATATTTTTCTAATTTAGATAATTAAATTTCGGAGTCTAGATAATTAAATTTTGAAGCTTATGATTCACTATGTAAATATTAATTTTTTTACTGATATTATACAATAAAGTCCGCCCCCCCCCCCCCCCCCCCCGACCACTAGATCCTAGCTCCGCCCCTGAATTGAACAGGAAAAAAATGAAACGGTTTCACAATAATACGGATACGGAAGTTTTAAACGGATAAAATATACGTACAGGTACATAATACATGTATTAAACGGAGAGTATTTACTAACTAATAACCCATGAGGACATCGGCGGATCTAGGGGCGGGCCGCCCCCGCCGCGCGGGCCACGGGCCAACCCTCCATTGGATCCAGAGCTAGTATATCCCTTGTAAATTTTGCAATTTTTTCGATATTTGTTTCGGTATTTAATTATCGAGTTACGTTCCAGTCCTCTCCACCTCTTTTTTCAAATGTGGCCTAGCTAGTGCTCTACCCTATTCTGAATCCGCCGCGCGCGCTGCACGAGGAAGGTTAGCCGGATTGATCAACAGCAACATTAACATTAGAGATTACATTAATGACACCTACTACCCACTCCACTACACATAATATTTGATATTATTATTATTATTATTATTAGTTCATTGAGCATTAAATGAACAATATAGCTCTCGTCAGACCATAATAATAATAATAATAATAATAATAAAAACTCCGGTCATCAGTAAAAAAAAAAAAAAGAAACTGCATTGAATAAGGTGGTAGCAGGTAACTGTGGCGTGGCCAGCGACTCGACAGCCAGCGGTGACTAAATACTAAAAAAAATATTTATTTTAATTTCCCATATATATGCATGGTGGTGGGTAGCTGCAGAAAATTTAATTAAAATCCCCTCTTTCATTTCATTAATCAACAAGAAGGAGAAGGAGCGGTGGTGTTTCCATGGACGCGAGCGCAGAGGATCAAAATGGAAGCAAAAGGGAAGCAGTAGAAGAAGAAGAAGTAGTAGGAGGAGGAGGAGGTGAAGGGGAAGAGGAATCATGGTGCTGGTGGGACGATGTGGTGCGGCGGAGTCCGTGCTTCTTACGGTGTGGTGAGGCTCTTCAGGTTTTCCTCAAGTGCTTGGGCTGTGGTGGCGGTGATGACTGCGGCGGCGGCGGTGCAGCCGGGGCGGCGGATCCACCGGTTCCGGAGGCGATGGCGGGGAGAATGCCGACGCGGCCACCGGTGAGCTCCGGCGGAGGCGGCCAGATCAATTAATTAGTTAGTTGAATATCTCTTTTTTGTTGTTTATTTACGGACGAAATAATTAGTTAATTATTGAGCTACACCGACGTAGTAATTACTAATTAGTGTGTCTTAATCATGGTTTTTTTTTTGTTGTTGTTTGTTAATCTTATTGTCTTGTTGCTGTTGATGTGATGTGGATCTCATTTTTCTTATGAACTACAGGCTTTGTGAATGGTTACTATTGTAATTGATATTACTGTTTTAATTATTGTTAGGGTGGTTTGGATGGTGGATTTTATAAATGTGATAATTTGATTTAATCGTCTCGAAATTGTCTCAACCCAGTTGCTACCTACGTCTCCTATTCTGTAATGGTGAACAAGTGAATTTGATTCCAATTGCTTCATTTGAGTACAACTGCGCCAAATTATCCTATCCAAGTTCCAAACTGCCCTTACTGTTTTTTTTTTTTCTTCCTTCCTTCTTTGAGATTTTCTTTTGGATGACTGTATTTACTATTTAGGTTTAATTGTATTATACAGAATTCAATGAATGGAGTGTCTGTTTGAAAGGCTCCACAGACCTGATAGTTATGGTTGATTTGAAGTGGTTGGTTGGGCCACTGCTCTGCTACTTGTGGTAATTAATAGTTGGTCTAGGGTTTAACTAGTCGTTCAGATTGTAAAAAGAAGGGTTAGTTGACCTTTAGTTTGGTGTAGGATATGAACAGTAATTAGGCCAACTACTTGTTGTGATTACCCACCAATTAATCTTCATTATTTTGCAGATCACACAGGTCTTTTTTTATGTTTTACTAACTTTTAGTTAGAGAGATCAATCAAACTGGTTGAATGAAAAGTGAGTTGTATCGAAATTATCATCCTTACACGTTTAGTAAATTTTTATTATTTGAAGTTTGATGAATAATAAACAATCAAGTTTAATTTATTAAAGGAAATAAACTGTGAGAGTAATTTGGTCTTTTATCTTAACGAGACACGTAATTACAATTTACAGCAGTAATGTGTAATTTGGTCTTATCTTAACGAGACACGTAATTATAATTTACAGCAATAATGTGTAAGTTAAAACACACTTACTTAATATGGATTTGATTAATTTTTATGGAAAATCGATTTGGATGAAATCAGGAATTAATTGTAGAAAATCGTGATGTAAGAACTGATTCACAAAATAGAACATAATACAGGGGTTATACACTAACTCTAGATTCGATCAATTTTTATGGTAAAATAAATTTGGATGTAAAAATGACTTATTTGTAAAGAAATCATAATATAAGGACTGATTCGCTAAATAGAACATAATACAAGGGATACAAAACCTGTTACCACAGTAGGAGGGAGAAAAAACAGCACGCCCAGTGGGACTCGAACCCACAATCACTTGATTAGAAGTCAAGCGCCTTATCCATTAGGCCATGGGCGCGCTTATTGTTTCATAATTCCGTAAAAAGTTTTTGATATATTTAGTTATTCTCTGTTTTTCTAACCAATGTTTCGGTTCTCTAGATCTACGGTGAGCAGCTGCAGGGAACATATTCGCAGCAGAGTTGACCAGAAACTTCTAGGAGACAACAAAAAGGGGAAAAGGAATAATAATAACAATAAAGTACAATTTTTATATTATAAAACGTTAGTAGTTTTTATTAAGGAAAAAAAGAATAAATAAAACGAATAAGAAGTGAAATGTGTGTGCCTGTCCATGTCATGTAAAGCTACATTGCATGAACATGGGGGCAATCTCAGTTAGCTTTTGGCTGTATTTACTTATCAAGAATCTTCTCATTACATTTTGTTTTTTCTTTTACACGTATAAATCTTGCATGAGAATTTGATAGTTGTTTTATATTTTATCAAAATGTTAAATACGAGTAGGTAGAGTCGGTTTGAACGGATAAGTTAAGTTACAGTTATTTTTGTTCACTCCTATTCGGAGTGTTCATGCATACTAATTTTAATTAGCTTAAATTCATGGAAGGGTGTTTAAAAATTATATATTTTAAAAATATGAAACCAAGATAAGAAAATTACGTAGTATTAACAACCTGCCATATACTTTTGTGCATCACATTCTTTATAGTTTGCTATGTAGAATCCATTTTTGAATTTTCATTACTCTTAATACTAATGGGTTGATTAAACACTTAATCCTTTGTTCCTCCAATACCCATTTTCATTGGCAAACACCAAACTACCCGTTACATATTGTTTATGCACTTACAGCCTGTTTGGATAGACAAAAAACTAAGGAATTGGAATTATATTTTCAATTCCATATCCATATACTATGTTTGGAATGATAAGAAGGTTGAGAATTGAATTCCATTTGTTCTAAAATTTGGGAATTTCAATATTATTTTATTGACCCACTAGCATTTTACTCTCTTTCTCTCTCATTCATATTTCATTTCCCAAAATAAAACAAACATATTACAGTATTTATTATTGTTAAAAGTGCAATTCATTGTCATACTTGTAGGAATTATACCAAACACTAGTATTGGAAATGGAATTCTATAAAAATAAAAAATAAAAATGGAATTCCATTTTCATTTCTTCCGGAATTGTATCAAACATACTTAATGTGAAATGTTTGTAGGCGTGTTTGTACAATCAATATCGTACCGTATGGTCCGACCGAAAAAAATCTCCTAACACGATCTAAATCAATAAGCACGATTTCTAGTACTGATAACCACGATTTCATCACAAAAAATCATACCGTTAAGCTTTCCTCTATAATAATTTTATTATTATTTGTACATACGTGGAAATGGACTCATGATATACATTTTTCTACTTATTGCTAATTAAATTAAAATAATAAAAGCTCAAAAAAATCTAGATGAAAAGAAAGAGGCAGATGCTGTATTGCACAGGGCACACATTAGTGCCTTTTCCAACCCTACACCTGAATATTTCGAGGCTGTTACATAGGCTAAAGAGCAGTATGAGCAAATTTCCAAGGCCTATGAGAGCTTTTGTTGGCAAAAATCTAGAGTATCCTGGTCAGCTGTGGGGGATAAGAGCTCCAGTTTCTTCCATCAAGCTGTAAAAATACGCAATTCAAAAAGGGCCATCAGGAAGCTTGTAAAGGATACAGGGGAGGAAATATATCAGACAGACCAGATTGTTGAGGAAGTGATTGGGTTCTATAAGAAGTTGTTCGGAGAGGTTAATGTTGATATCAATCCAAGTGAGGAGGAGGTGAAGAGGCTTGTTCAAAGGCAAATCCCTCAGGCTGAATGTGAGGCATTGATTCAGGACATTACCGGTGAAGAAATAAAGGCAGTGGTGTTTAGCATGAACACACAGAAGGCCCCAGGGCCATATGGGTTTTCTGCAGGGTTTTTTAAGAGGGTTTGGGGAGTTATTGGTGAGGATGTGATCAAGGGGATCCTCTTTTTCTTCAACTCAGGTACCCTCCCCAGTGGTGTTAATTCTACTGCTGTTTCTTTGTTTCCAAAAGTTCCTAATGCAGATACCTTAAAAAAGTTTAGGCCTATTTCATGTATAAATCTTTTATACAAAATCATTGCTAAGGTCTGGCAAATAGAATTAATGGGATTATGCCTTTGATAAGTAGTAGTTCCCAGTCTGCATTTATTAATGAGTATCATGGATCATATACTGATGGCTCAGGAACTGGTGAGTGGGTATAATAGGCGATTACTTTCATCTCGATGTGCCATTAAAGTTGATATAATGAAGGCATTCGACTCTGTAAGTTGGAGGTACCTGTTTTTCATGATGAATGTCATGGATTCCCTGCAACTTTTTTGAAGTGGATTAGAAGTTGTTTGCAAACTGCTCATTACAGCATCAATGTGAATGGAAGCCTTTGTGGGTTCTTTAGAGCCAGGAAAGGTGTGCGTCAGGGTGATCATTGTCACCTTACCTTTTTACCATTGCAATGGAGGGGTTGTCTACAATGTTAACTGAGGTAGGCCAGTCAGGGGTTCTTCCATTCCATCCTCTGTGTAAGAGAGTAGCATTGAACCACTTATGCTTTGCTGACGATTTGCTAATATTCACTAAGGGGTCTGCTCAGGCAATAATGCAGGTCAAAGCGATTCTATAGCGTTTCTATCAGATATCAGGACTTAACAGCAATCCTGCCAAGTGTGAAATCTATTTTGGTGGGGGTTCCATTCTCTACAAGCACAATGCTCTGGCTCTTACAGGATTTCAGGAAGGGAAACTGGCAGTCCGATACTAGGATTACCTTTGCTGTCTGGCAAATTATCTTCAGCGGAAATTGATAGTCTGGTTGAGAAAATTACTAAAAGGATCAGGTCTTGGTGGGCCAAGAAAGTCTCATATGCAGGAAGATTGCAACTTCTTAACTCTGTACTCCTGGGGGTGGTTCAATTCTGGATGCAATGTTCATTCTACCGAAGCAAACTCTCAAGAGAATACAAAAGGTTTGTTCTTAGTTTCTCTGGCATGGACTAGATGAAGGAAAGGCAAAAGTGGGGTGGGAGCAGGTAGCCCTCCCTAAACGGGAAGGGAGACTGGGGGTCAAAGATTTGGTTGCTTGGAATCAGGCTTGCACTATAAGAATGCTCTGGTTGTTTTTGATGAATTCAGGGGCTTTATGGGTGGCCTGGATGAAGGAATATAAATGTGGGCAATGTGATATGTGGTCATTAAGAGTGCAGTACAGTAGCTCATGGGCTTGGAGAAGACTTCTCAAGCTTGGAACTGTGGGTTTCCCCTGGATACATAAGCATAATGATGTAGTCTATTGGGATTCAAAAGAGATGGATACTTACTCAATCCGTCGAGTCTGGGAAACTTTGAGGAGCAGGGCTCCTAGAGTTGTGTGGTACATGTTGGTATGGAATAGTAACTAACCACCTCGTTACAGCATGATTGCCTGGTTAATAATGAAGAATGCAATTGTCACAAGGGATAAACTACTAAAATGGGGAAAGATCAGGACAGCAGACTGTCTGCTATGTGGCAAATGAGTGGAGAGCAGGGATCATCTCTTTACTCAGTGCACATTTGCAAGGGATCTTGCTGCTGAGATAAGGTGTAACGTGCTGCTGCATCCTGATTGGGATACTTTGATACACTCCCTGACTTCTGCAGGAACAACAAGAACAGGGGAATGGCAAGCTCTCGTTTGGTGCTTCTTAGTGACGTTTATTTGGAAGGAAAGGTGCGGGGTAGTCCATGGCGCTTCATGTCGCACACCAAGGCAAGTTGCAGACCTTATCAAGCAGAAATTAACGCTCCTCACATATGGGAATAGAGGGATCCGAGATACCTTAGTTGGGTTGAGATACTTATAGTTTTGTTTTTGCTGTTTGTTCCTTTTGTCTTAGTATAGAACGCAGATAGGTTGTGAGGTGTTTTTTCCAGTTGGTGACTTTGGGATGATTATCCCTCTTTCGTTGTATTGGTTTCTTGCAGAAATAAAGCGACTGATTCAACGGAAAAAAAAGAAAGGGAAACAAAAGCTCCAAATCCATAAAACCATGTTGGGAGGAGTAAATATGGCATTAAATACACTGACTGAGGTAGGAAGGTTTGAGGGGGTATATGTCGTATTGTCAAGTGTCTGTATGTAGAAAGACAGAGAGACAGAGATAATAAAGCGCCCTTTCTTTCCCCATTTCCTTCCATCCCCCATCCACTGTTAAATAAAGCATCACTTCTTCTCAATTTGCAGCAGAGAACACACAGATAAGTAGCCACCCAAAAGCTAGAATCAAAGAAGAAGAAGGGATGAAATGGAAGAAAGAGGGAGGTGTTGGTTGAATATTGGTTCTGTGTTCCGCTGTAGCCCATGCTTGGAAACCCTTTTCAAATCCTTCCTCAACTGCTTAGGTTTTCATGGTGATGATGATCATCATCAAGAAGAGCAGCAGCAGCAGCAAGAAGGGGAGCATGCAGCAGCAGCAGCAGATCAGGCAGCTGATCAAGATGGAGGAGGGTTCACTTCCATCAACACCAACTATGTAACCATTACATCTCTCTCTCCCTCTCTCTCAGTTCCTTTCATCTTCGTCTCTGTAGATTCCATGAAAAGATTCAATGTTTTAGAAACGGTAACCTAGTGTTCGGTTTGACGGTCGGACTGGGAATATTGGATACCGAATTCTGAATGCATGATAGTCTATTTTTCAGTGACAAGAAACGGTTGAACCACGGTCAAAACTACAGAGTAATTTGAATACGATTACAATGGGTGCTTGTAATTACTTAATAATTAATAATTAGGAGAAGTGATATTTGTGTAATTATTTTGCGATGAAGCAGCAGCAGGAAACAGCAGGTTCAACATCAGGAGTGGTGTCCCTTCGAGCTGTAGCGGTAAGAAGACCTGGAAGGCCTCCAGTGAGCTCTGGAGGAGGTGGTCAAATCAATGCTGCTTCAGCTTAATTAATTGTTTTACCAATTATTTACCTTTTACCTATATCAATTTGTTCTTCTTCTTCTTCTTCTTCTTTTTTTTTTTGGTAAGCTTGAGTCAAGAATTGGGTGTGGCTTTTTGGGGATTCTCTCTTCTCTCTTTTGGTGTTGCTCAAGTTTCATAGTACTTTTGTAGTTGCTGGATGTACATGTATTATTATTATTATACACTACTATACATGGCATTGTATTTTAGAGCCATATGTCAAATTGGTCACTCAACTTCAATGGTTCTATGAATTTTCGTTGGCCGAGAAAGATAACTAATGTGACCGTCAATATTCATTTTGATTTTTTATGAATATTTCTATATAAATGATAAAGTTAGTTGAACTGGGTACGACTCGTCTTTTTATCTCGTATCGAATGATACTTGAGAATTATAATTCATTGTACTCGAAATCATGCTACTCACATTCAACTCCTCAGTTACCTTATTTTTCAACTATGTATTTCGGTGAGTGAGCACATCGGTACAAAATGATTTCAACGATAAACCTTATCATGTCGTATGATTTGATTGACAATTACGTTAGTTTTCTTAAATTCTAGCAACACGCTCACTAAAATTTCGATTTTGGTAATAGGTACTTGTTAATGATTTCGATTTTGGTAGTGAGCACATCTGTACAAAATGATTTCAACGATAAACCTTATCATGTCGTATGATTTGATTGACAATTACGTTAGTTTTCTTAAATTCTAGCAACACGCTCACTAAAATTTCGATTTTGGTAATAGGTACTTGTTAATGAACCCCCCCCCCCCCCCCAAGCCTTACTATAACCATGTTATACAATTGATCACCCTGTATATATTTGACAATAAAGAAACCGGAAGTAATTAAATTCACAATTACTGATTAACAAGTACAGCTGAACAGAAGATTGGTTAAGATAGATGGGATTTGGGGGTTTAAATGAAAGAAATTAATGACGGGCCCAATTTCTCAACCTAACATCGTTAAGAAAAAAGTAGCAATCTTCTCCACTAATGGAAAACTTCGAGTTTGCTTCTCCTCTTTCCCATTCTTAGTACCCTAATTCATGACATACCAACTGTCTGTCCTGGTTTCCATTGAATACAGACAGAATTAATGGCTTGTAGTTAGGGAATATTAGAAGTTCACAGTACTTTCACACTCTGGAGCTAATTGTTCAAAAGTTTTGTTTATAGATGTCATGTGAGTAATTTTCCAAGTTGATTTTGTTAATTTATCTCTAAAGCATCTCTAATTATATGGTTAGAGATAGATTATGAATAATCTTACCTGATGGTCATTATTTAGGAATGACAACTCGTTGACTTAGTCGGGTAGTTTGATCTAATTGTCATACCTATGGTGGACTCAAATGGTCCTTATGCACTTTTAATGGTCATGGGTTCAAGTTGGATTTGAATTGGGTCCATTTTGGGTCAACTCATTTAGGTATGATTAAAATGAGTCTATTAGAATACATATAAATGTACACACAAAAGGACAATATCGATATCTTTTTGACCGTCTTCAACACAATTACACTTTTAGTGTTGATGTTTTCACCTTTCTATTTGTTTCATAAAGAAAATAAGAAAAAAAACCTTTATTTGAACCATATATCTATTTTCTTTTCACTATCTAGTACTATGAGTCCAATTTAGATCCAAACTAAAAGTTGGGTATGAGTTTGCCCCCAAAAAACAAAATTATCCAAACATGATTTGTCACATACTAAAATGAATTTGGATAATACTCAAATACTATGGGGTCGTTTGGATGTGGAAATTTAATGTAGTAATTGGACCCAATTACCACATAATGCAGTAATTGAGTTAAAAACCCACGTTTGGGAGAGCAAAAGTGGTATGGAAATTGGACCATGGAAATTGGCTTCAATTACCACATTCATGGTAATTGAGAATACTATACCTCCCCCTAGTAATTTGACATTACCACGTTTTCTTACTTCTTTTTCCAAATTCCACACCATCAATTGCAAAAATAAACCCTATCCAAACATGATTTTTTTTTTCAATTTCCACAGGTCAATTCCTTGGTTTTGTAAAAACATGGAAATTCAGACGAATTCCAACGTTTTAAAATTTCCACATCCAAACGAACCCTATGTCTTTTTTTCTATCTTCGGGTATATTGATTAAAGCGAAGTGTAGTTCTCGAGGATAAAAATGATTTGAAAAACTCACTCAATAAAAATTAGTTCCTCGTATTCATTTTTGTACTTTTTATGACATAATTTCCTACATAAAATAAATACAATGAATCAAGCTGTATTTGTACATATATTCATCTTATGCAAGAACCATGTCATATGCAAGAACGATGGTTAGTAATTTTTAGGACGATCTTTAACCATTCAACTTTTTTTTCCCTTACTTTTGAAGTGAACCAAACGGAAACGGACACTCACCGGGGAAGAGAGAGAATTAATAGCTTAAAAGGCCGGAAATGTCAAGCGGTTTCGTGGGTAGCACATGGGCCCTTGAAACATGGGCCTTGACTGACTGTCTTGTGCGGAGGGAGGATGGTAAGAATATAAGAGGCCAAAAATGTCCAAAGAAAATTTTGACAAACAAGAAATTCCAATCCAGAAAAATACAAATAGACTTAGGTCTGTTTTTTCAATTCAGATCGATGAAGCGGTGGCAAAATATTGGTTGGTTCTCTGTTTTCTGCGTGCCACCGCCTCCATTCCCCATTGTTTCGATGAAAAAACTTAGGGGGGAAACGGGAAACGGGTATTTACCCGTCTCGTTCTTTGTAGGTTACGGGTACCTAAATATCCGTTTTATAATTGCGAAACGGGACTTGGGATTGATAATTTCAAAAGCGGGTACCCGCGGGTTACCCGTATATACCCGTTTGGGTATAACGGGTACCCGTTTTATCCAATACAGTCCAGTTGAAACCAACCAAATTATCCTAACCTAGTTACCTTGAATTCTTCATAGTCTCTCGGCAATGATAAACAAAAATATGGATTAGTTTAGCATAAATTGAAACGGATAAATACAGAGGTAATGACTTGCATTATTGTTGCTAATACATAGGTTAGCAAGAGAGAACCACAACATTGGCTTTTGCTTTCTAGCTATCTATTATATTTGATTTTCATAGTGGTTATTCAAAGGTTATTTAATCTTCTTGCTTATCTCATGGTGATGTTTATTCTCAGGTTATGTGATCTTTGATGGCTAGTCAAGAGCATGTACCCGTCTCCGAAGTACCTCAAACTCAACAAGCAAGTAATGTTATGGTTAATGAAGAACCATCGATCGGGCCGGATTCTAGAAAGAGGAAAGCATCTAGCCTCCGTTCACCACATTGGGTTGGATTCACATTATTATTTACTATAGAAGGAAATCCACCAGTTGAGGTTCGGAAAGGGAAGTGTAATCGTTGCGGAACTATCATTTGTGTCGGGAGCACCCATGACACAAATGGCTTGAAGAACCATAAGGTTTCTTGTGAGAAGAAACATTTGGAGCAGCTACAACAACCAAATCTGAGTTTCCAAGCTGGTTCCTCCACGGACGACCAGGCGAGATATCAGCTTGGCGATTCAATCAAGAAGACTCATGGTTAGCTTTTGCAGAAATGATCATGCTTGACGAGCAACCTTTCAAAATTTGTGGAAGGGAGGGCTTTCGTCATTTCATAACTCGTGTTTGCCCTATGTTCAAAATTCCAAGTAGGAAGACAGTGAGGACAAATTGTGCTAAGTTGTTTCTTCCGCGAAAAGATAGCTTGAAGTCCTTCTTCAAAGATAGAGGCATGGGGTGGGTTTCAATCACAACAGATTGTTGGACATCGTTGAAGAATGATAATTACATAACTATGACGGCACATTTCATCTCTATAAGTTGGCATCTCCATAAAAGAATCATATGCTTCAAGAAGATAACTAGTCATAAAGGGGAGGACATTGGCCATGCGGTGATGACGTGTTTGAATGAGTGGGATTTGAAGAATGTCTTTGTTGCACGGTTGATAATGCATCAGCTAATGATGTTGCAGTTCGTCATGTGAGGGAGAAATTTGAAGAATGGGGGACCAACATATTAAGGGGGAGATACCTACATATGCGTTGTGTAGCGCATATCACTAATTTGGTTGTTTATGATGGCTTGGATGAGATTGGGTTGTTAGTGAGAAGGGTTAGGGAAGCTGTGAAGTGGATTACTGCTTCGCCATCTAGGGTGGAGATATGGAGTAGGGAAACCAATAGCATGAACATCCAATGCAAGAGATCACTAACTCTTGATATGCAAACAAGGTGGAACTCAAATATCTAATGTTAGAGTCCGCTAAACCATTCGAGGCTGCTTTTCCAGTGTATGCAGGAATGTTGCCTGCATTCGAAACTGAGTTAAATAAACTCATGCATCGTGATGCCGTTGTTGGTCCACCTGGACTGGAGGATTGGGTAAATGTTCTTTGGATGATGGAATACTTGAAGTTCTATGACTTGACTTGTCTCGTCTCTGGCACCTCATATGTGACATTTCATCTCTTCTTCAAAGAGATGTGTGATATATTTGATCACATAGCCAATGTGGAAAAGCATCCAGATCCTAAGATTAGAACAATGGCACAAAAAATGAGGTCCAAGGTTGGTAAGTATTTGGAGGAAGAAGTAGCGGGTAACTTCAGGATGAACAAGATCCTATACATAGCTGCGACTTTGGATCCACGGCAAAAGTTGAAGCATGTACAGAAATGTTTGAAGAAGGTATACGGGTTGGATAGGGCAACTGCAATGGTGGCTGAATTGAGAGAGTTATTTTATGAACTCTTTGAGTATTACAAACTTTGTTGCTTCCACCTCGTCCGAGGACGAACACTAACTCTCAAGACTCTTATACACTATCTCGGAAGCAAGCTTTGCTTAATGTTGATATTAGGAGGCTATCAAATCGTGGTTCGTGTAGTGCCATAGAAGATAGTGACGATGAAGGAGACGACAATGATGCTTCTGAGTTGACACTCTATTTGACTGAGAATCAATTCAAGGAGAAGCAACAACAAGATAATGTTTCAGTTGTTGACTCCTTTTATATTCTTAAGTAGTGGTCAACTCATGGTTTACGATTTCCTGTTTTGGCTGAAATAGCTCGAGATGTATTGGCTATCCCAATATCAACTGTTGCTTCCGAGTCGGCTTTTAGCACAGGAGGAAGGGTTCTTAATAAATTTTTTGGCTCCCTAGATGGTTGAGGCTTTGATTTGTGGTGGTGATTGGTTGAGAAGCAACAATAACATTGTTTTAAACGATGAAGAAGATGTGCTTGAATCCGAACAAGAAAAAGAATACCATGAAGGTACGGGTTACTTACTTATATTTTTAAATACCTACTCTACTAGTTGTTGTGTAAATAACTAGTAATTTAACATTTGTTTAAAATGTAGTGATGCAAGCTATTGGAGGTGGATTACTCTGAAACTTTCGAAGTTTAGGTTGGTGGCGGCTTCAATTAATCAATTCTGATTTTTTGCTTCAATTAATCAAATCTGGAACTTTAAATAGTCATTCATGAATTGGTTGGGGAGAGTAAGTAAGTAGTAGTAGTTTGAGATAGTCATTCATTCAATCTTTAGTGATGACCACCCAACCCCATCAATGATCAATCTCTTTTTTGCTACTATGCCTTTGTGCCACCAGAACATCACCAACTGTCTCACTTATGAATTGGTTGGAATGGATTTCTTTGGATGCAGGTTATTTTCAAGAGATTAGTTGGATGGAATGGATGTATGTTGGAATGCTTGGATATTGGTTGTTTGGAAGTTGGAATGAATTTGTCGGGCGACATCACTTTAGTACTAGTTGTTTTTGACATTTCAGCGTGTGTTATTTTGTTCCAAGTTCATGTTTATGTAATGTAGAATATTGACAGCACTGCACAACAGGGTTTGTATTGTTCCAAGTTCATGTTCATTTTGCATTTTTGTGGGCAGTAGCTTCGTCTGGGAGCTTGGGACAACAAGGTTCTTTTTCTTTCCATTTTGTGGGCACTTTTCAATTTGTGGGCAGTAGCTTCGGCTGGGACAGCAGGGTTCTTTTTCTTTTCATTTTGTGGGCAGTAGTTTTATTTACAGGACAAACGGGTATAACGGGTACCCGTTATCTGTCCCGTATGGGTAACGGGTACCCGTTAACCCTTATGGGTTTAGGACATGGGATGTACCTTGGTCTCCAAACAGGACCGGGTACCCGTTTCAAACGGGACGAGTTTCACGTCTCGTCCCGTTGCCCACCCCAAAAACTTAAGAGGAGCCATCCCAACTAGAGTTCATTCATTCTATTCATTTACAGAACGTTTGGTACCAAATGAATCGAGAATTCATTTCATTTTAAAATGAATTACTCTGTAGAATTCATTGTCAAATGAATTCCTATATTTGGTAGTCATATTCAATCAAATGAATTGAATTCTCAAACCATGTTTGGTATATGTTTAGAAATGAATTAAATTAAAAGTTTCTCCAACTACACCCTTATTAATTTTCGGAAAAAACAATATTCGTTGAAAATTCATCTTCTAAAAAACGTATTTGGTCTCATACGTAGAATATCAAAAGTGTTCTTGTGTGTTTCTATTCTATTAATTAGTTCTTGAACCCTGCAATCTAGTTGTGTCTTCTCAAAGTACTGATACAATCGAAGCAAAAATATAAAATAACTAGCATATGCTACTAGCGTTGCAATCAAATTCTTGGTGACGTTTCTCGTACTGTATCAATTGGCACCAAATAATATATGTAGAAGTAATTTCGTTAATAAATAAGGATAATTATGTCATTCTATTATAATTCGTAAATACTTGTGGAATTCATGTGCAAATTCCATCTCAATTCCTCGGAATTGCTATAACTAGTTCCAATTATGTAGAATTCAAAATTAAGAATTGCAAATGAATTCTTTTAAATACCAAACACAAAAAAGATTTCATTTCAAAATGAATTCTTCAAAACTTATGGAATTCATTTATATGTTAGTGATTATTCTACAATTTAATGCTTATTCACTCTCACATAGCAGGTCTTTTTGTATGTGCTGTGCGGAAAGAGGAGGACTCCATAATTATTCATTCATCGAAATTAGAAATTAAAGTTTTGACAAATCGGAATCCCGTCAAAACTTTCTTTTGAGAAATGGATCAGACCTAACCATTTCTTAAGAATGAGGTAACCCAAAGAGAGCCGATGATTCCAACTATCAACCATATAAGATCCATACTATATCTAACCATCCCAGTATCCTACTATATCTGACTATCCTACCTCCTTTACGTTCTTGGCAAGTGACAACCCATCTTTGTTTCAGTAGAGTCTTTCAGTGGCATGTTTTAGTCTTCTTCCCCATTATTAAAAAAAAAAAGAGCCATCAGTTCAAGTACAAGAGTCTTTCAGTGGCGTGTTTCAGTGGCATAAATTAGTCATAAACTAGTTGAATTAGGATTCTTGATTTTTCTATAAAAAAGAGTTGCATTTATCATAATCTACACAATGACCACCTATAGCAATTTGAACCCGCCTCATCAGATTATACCCGACCTGACTCGCATTGTGACGTGTTACCCAACCTGTAATAGTGTGGGGCGGGACATGGGGACTCATCCCACCATGCCTCGTTCTTGATCATCATATATCAAAATTTCTTTCGATATCTATTCGTATTCTTCAATGTTAGCTTTTCTGCAGTCATTATTTTTACCTTATGAAACTTTAAATAAGTGCAAGATTTGATCTTTTAACTAGTTAGAGTAATTGCAGTCATTATTTTTACCTTATGAAACTTTAAATAAGTGCAAGATTTGATCTTTTAACTAATTAGACTCAATTACTCGTTCAATTATAATATTTTCATTCCTAAGAGTGGTGTTCGTTCATCTTGTCCACAGTTATTATATAATGAAAATCTGTCCACAGTTATTACTCATTCAATAGTCCCAATGGTAAGAAGTACTCTTAACTCAAATCTATCAAGCCAATAAAGAGGAAAGTTCTCCAGCTCAAATCTACCAAGCTTAAAAAGGCGTCTCGTTCATTACCTAGAGATGCCTTCACGGCACATTATGGCCCAAAGGCTTGTGCTGTGCAAAGAACTCGACCTGAGCTTTTGTCTGCCACGTCAAGAAAATTCGAGACTGGCGTGTGCATGATGCAAATCTACGTCCTCCCATGTCGCTCATATAACTAATTACTGCTCAAGGTTCTCTTCTTAGCTCTCTTTGCAAAGTAACTGAGTGCCAACCTGGTGAAGCTGGTGAGGGTGAGAAAAAGTTGGAAGAGCGACCGGCCTTTCACGATCCCCTCCTTCAATCCCCTCGCTGTCCTAGCCACCGCAGGTGCTTCGTTCCTAGTTGCTAAACTTGCTACCCTCTGCACTGAAGCTAAACAAAGTGAACACCCAGTAAACTTCATTCTGTGCCATATCAGTTAATTGAACAAGAAAATGGCTAAACGAACTACGGCTGCAATCCACTTCAAGAACCTGGTGGAGCAGCAGCCACATTGGTTAATCCGCGAAGCTTCTCCTCAGCAACACGCACTGCCTTGGTGGAGTTCTTAACTCCATGGGTTATCTCCTGACTATAAACCAGGGCATGAAATCAGAACTATCATTAACTAATGAATTCCCAGCTAGCAATCATTTGGTGCAAATAGGCCAGTTTGGGGTCAAAGTGCTTACCCTAGATCGCTAAGCTCCATCGTTAAGTCACTAATCTCCATGCCGGATAAGCGAATGGCAGCCATTGTATTGGGAAGCTCTTCCCTTGTTACATCCATCAGTTTCTCCAGGGACTCTGCTGCTCTCTTGAAAGCCTAATGTTACAAATTACCACTAAGTAAAGCAAACAAAAGATTCCAATTTCCAACCCTAAAACACAAAAGAGAGATCAAAATGGCATACCAAAAGGGTTGGGATCGCAGAGAGGAACAACCAGGTTGCTGAAACTGCCGCCTGAAAAGCGAGCTTGAGTGTTAGTAAATTAACCGAATTTCAAACTATCAGAAATCTCCAACCTTTCGTTCGCCCCAATTTCTAACACAAATCAACAATTGCACAACTGCAAACCCTAATTTTCCAACACTAGAAACAAGCAGGAAACGTGAACCACATTACAGAAATGGAAGCTTTTTGTCGGCGGTGGAAGAAGAGAGAAAGCAGGAGGGGGAGGCGAATTACCGAGCAAGCGAAGACATTAAGAAGGAGGGCATGGCGCTGGCTGAAGTTGAACTGAATAACGGGAGTAGGAGGAGCCATCGCTGGTGATCCGACGGACTCGGTGTACCGCGATGAGATCGACGGCTGCTTCGCCGCGGAGACGCCAAAGTGGGACCGCACGGAGAGCAGGCGAATCGGCCGGCGGCGAAGCAGGGGAGTCGCGCTGAAACTGTGGCTCGAATTGCGAATCGGCAACGGACTATTGGAGACCTGTAAGCTGGTTGCGCTCAACATTTCGTTCATACTTTCTTCAAACTCTGCCGGAGGCGGCAAAATTGTGGAAGATTTGGCTCGACGACGGAGATGGCCGGGCGGCTTCAGAACGGTGTGTGGTGTTGTCACTTGCCACCACTCACATTGGCAACTTCCCGCCTCTCTAGTTACGTCCGCCGCGGCGCCGGTCAAAGTTAAAAATGCTCTAACAGCCGAGTTTTTTTTTTTTTTTTTTCATAGAAATCTTGGTAGATTTACAACTTACAAGGCAAGGATAAGGGTAGCCACAATAACCGGCACACTCACTTATCAAAAGACATATAAAACAAATAAGAGAAGTCGAATAACAATGAAGGTAATCCAGGAAAGCGTAGGGCATGTTGCGCCACTAAATGGGCAGCCCGATTCGCATCCCGAGGAGTAAATTGTAAAACAACATTTGGCAATTGGACTAGTAACGCATGAACCTCCGAAAAAATTGCGCCAGCACGTGCATCTGATAAATTACCCGAAACCAGCTTGTCAATGACCACTTGGGCATCTCCCGTAAGTAAAACATTCCGATCATGCCAATGCCACCGTTGCAGCAAATATAGTGCCTCCCGTATAGCGAGCAACTCAACCAAGCCAGGATCCAACACTCCTTGAATAAAAGACCCAAAAGCAAAAGTCGGAACAACGCCTGTAAGACCAACAATACCAATGGCTCCAGAGTGATGGGGAGAAGTTGCTCCATCAACCGCCAAACGAAGGCCTTGAAAACCACCAGTAATAACTGCTGAAGAAGCCTTATTGCGTGACGACGAAGGAGGCTGAGGAGCCGGAGAGACAATGGCAAGACGGTTGGAGTCGCGATGGGAAAGGAATTGACGACGGAGAACAGGGACGGTGAATTGAGCATAAGGAGAGAACACAACATTATTACGCCCTTTCCAAAAACGCCAACAGAGAAGAAGCCAATCAGAGATGATATACGGGGCAGCATGGCATAATAAACTTCGCCACAACAGAGCGAAATGGTAAGAAGGATCAAAACCCAGCGGTAGTGAAATGCCAATTGCATCACGAAGACGAATAGCCACAGGACAACGAATAAACAGATGTTCAAGAGACTCTCCTTCATCAGATTCACAAATTGGACAAAAAGATGGAACATTAAGACCATGTCGCTGTAAATCCTCTCGAACCGGTAGAATCCGAAGTACCATTCTCCAAAGAAAAAACTTGAGCTTTGGCATCACCGGTAAGGACCAAACTTTTGGCCACAAAGAAGGGTCAAGAGGGGAGGCCGAGTCAACCGACCGAGATGACTGAGGAGCAGAAAGAGCATTAATTTGGAGCCCAAGATGATACGCCGACTTAACGGAAAAAACACCATTGGTGGTGTAATGCCAAACAAACTTATCTGGAGACAAAGTGCGAGGAAGGGGAATGGCAAGGATCCTCTGAACAGAAGATGAATCAAAAAGATCACGTAAACGAGTCTCACGCCAAGTGGAGGTAGTAGGAGAAATAAAGTGAGAAACAAACAAAGGAGAAACCTGTACAGAAGGAAGACAAGTAGGACGGAAATCGGGTAAAGTAGGTACCCAAGGATCTGTGAAAGCATCAATGGAAGCACCAGAGTGAACCTCCCAACGTAACCCATGAACAAGTAAATCACGACCATGCAGAAGAGACTGCCAAGCCCAAGACGGAGTGGAGCCAGTAGTGGCTGAAAGAAAAGATTCATGAGCAAAATACCGACCCTTCAACACACGAGCAACAAGCGAATCAGGAGAATGAAGAATACGCCAACACTGTTTTGCCAATAAAGCTTGATTGAATGTAGAGAAATCCCGAAAACCTAGCCCCCCAGCAGCCTTTGATAAGCATAACTTTTTCCACGAAATCCAAGGTAGACTGCGTTCAGTGCCTTGCTGTCCCCACCAAAACCGAGCAATCATACGATTAAGATTACGACATAACTCCTTTGGGAGGCGAAAGTAAGACATGGCATAAACAGGTAGAGCTGAAACAACAGACTTAATCAACGTTTCCAATCCAGCCAAAGAGAGACAACGACGCTTCCACCCTTGAAGACGTTTGGCCACCGCCTCCTCAATATAACGGAAAGTGTCACGCTTAGAGCGACGAATGAGAGAAGGGATCCCCAAATAACAATCACGAACACCAATGGCTCCCACCTGGAGTAAGGCTCCAAAAGAGGAGGCTTCATCCGTTAACGTGTTTTTAGAGAAAACCACCGCTTATTTGGCGAGATTAGGATAATTTGGAATAATTTGGAAGTTGTGATTTCAAATGGTGTATTGATTCATGTATTTGAGAGATTCATTCATTTTTTTAGTTTATATTGAACTAGAATATATGTATTAAATGGTTGTTTGATGTTGATGATAATTAAATAAATATATTGTCATCAATACCTGCATAATATTAATAGGTTATGGCTTCTCTGCAGTCACTTTTTTGGGTGCATAGTACACTTTGTTTGGTGCATTCAATGCACGCGCCTCATAATTGTCATTATGAGCAAGCGATTCATGTGAAAACGATGTCAATTATCACTTGTGGTGGTATGATGAACAAGAATCACATGAATTTGTACAAAAATCAATCAAGATTCACTTTAATTTGAATGATTTAGTGTTTAGGAATTCAGGGTTAGGGTTTACAATTTGAGATTTTGGGTTGAGACTCAAAATTGAAGATTAATAGGAGGGCTAATGGATTGATTAGTTGTGATTATGTGTTATATCATCATAATAGACTAATGTTACACATTAAAGTTCAAAATTTGATGTATTATGACCACTTTTAGAGTTGGGTGCATTGGATGCATCCAAAAAAGTGAGTGCAGTGAAGTAGCCACCAAAATTAATATACTTGTATATAAGAAAATCAAGGGGTCGTTTGGAAGTTGCGATTGTTAAATAGATGTATTGTTGTGAATGCATGTATAATATTATACATGTATTGTAAAATACAACGTTTGGTATGTGTCATTGTGTATGTCCCATAAGCTAAAGGTTTAGACAAAACAATCTCAACTCAACAATCACAACTAAAAGTTAAGATATAACAATCACTCATTTTGAGTGATAGTTTCTATCACATCACAAAAACAATCCATATATTGTTTCTGCTAAAAAATTAAAAACAAAAGATGCATTCTAAATAATACATGTATAGTAAGTTAGTAACGATCTCAACAATACAATCGCAACTTCCAAACGACCCCTTAGTATATTATAGTTTACATTGTTTAGTTCTTGTGATAGTTATTCTGTTATTTAAATAAGTTATATTACTTTTCGGTCGACCTATTCCTAACCGCGATCGACCGAATACACTAATGTGGGCAATATGATGACTTATCACGGTCGACCTTTTAAATGTAGGGGTCGACCGTTTTGAGTTAAGTTGTGACATTACCGGTTGACCACAATAAAACATGGTTCGCCCTTTTCATTGTAGTCTGAAGCACACTGGTCGACCATAAAGGTAATGAGGTCGATCACTTGATTGTGGTCATTACCAAAATGGTCGACCATTTACAGAAAGAAGTCGACCAGACAAAAGAGTAAAGCGTTCTATCTATTTATCCATTCCTTTTTGACGTGAAATGAAGATCGAGTGTTGGTCTTGAGGTCGACCGAATGCAGTAAGAGGTTGACCGAATTAAGGAAATTTAGCCTATGACTTTCAACTTTTTTGCGTATGTATGTCGATGTGGGTGGTTTGTTTGATCGTTCAAATTACATTTGGTAGTCATTGGAATCAGTCTTATATCATGATAGCAAGGATCCATAACTTTTTAACATAACAACGTAACACACTAACAAGAAATATAATAAAACACACTTCATAAATGTTCACACAAAACACAATTCATGAAATCGAAAACCACATAACAACAAAAAATAGAAGCTAAACTCATGGAGCTCCTACACCTCTCCACTCTCTAAAACAGCAAATTAGGTCGACCTAATCCTATATTAGGTCGACCGAAAAGTGCATGTTACGGTGACATGCATGTCACCGTAGCAAATTCCATTACTTTTTGGTCGAGAAAAAAGAACACAACAGTCTCAATCAAACAATCTTAGCAATCTCACAAAAAACTTGAGATGTAACTATCACTAATTTTGAGTGATAGTTTGTGTCACATCAAGCAAACAATGCATGTATTGTTTATGTAGAAAATTCAAAAAATGATGCATTGTGGACAATGCATACATTGTAACTATCTCAACCAAACAATCACTCAAACCAACCGACCCATAAAGTTTTGGAGGCCTCATCACAATCACTCAAAATTGAGGGATTATCAATCTCAACAGAAAGTAGAGATTCTTCAAAATCACTCAAAATTAACTTTTTGTACTTTACAACAAAAACACAATCTAAATCTACAAACAAGGTATTTGTCTAATAGTTAATTTAATACATCAAATGATAATACACTAATTAACTCATTACACCAATTTGAAGAATAATAACTTCCAAATGACCTCTTACTTGCAGAGAAGAGGTCCAATAAGGGTGGGTTTCGTTGTTAGGTTTTGAATTTTGAAAATTTTGAATTTGTGATGGACGTTTTTGTGTTATGGATTTGAAAGAGTTTATTGTTTGTTAATTTAATTTTTTCATTATGAATTTATAATTTTGTATTATGCAGTGACGATCCAGGGGGTGGCCACTCCGAGCCACGGATCAGCCCTCTTCTGGATTCGGAATTAGTGTTGCATTTATTAATTTTTATTTTATTTTAGCCACTCGGCCCAGTGCTATTTTGTAATGAAATTCTGTATAACTATGAAAATGAAGAGAAATATCTAGATAGTGAATTTAATGAGATTTAGTCAATTGAATAAAATTATTAAAACTAATAGGATTTCACAAGAAACAGCTATCGGAAACAACAAGAAATTAACTTATCCTTATTTCACTATTTTCAGTTAATTTTTATTTATCACTTCCTATTATCACAACAAGTAGTGGGGGGGAAAATTAAAAATGTTTTCAGTATCTATTTTCACTTGTAAAAACAAAAACAGGAAATGATACTCTTGAGCCTTGACTACATATATCCAAACCTGACCAAACACGGTCGTCCAAGCACCAACAGTTTCAATCCCAGTGAGAGCATGTTTGAATTGCAGCAACCCGTGAATCGGTGAATGTATAAACAAAATAGAACACTTTTATAGGGAGATCAAAATTCCAATACAGCTCAGCTCCAACGTTTAGTTCTTCCCCAAACTCTGTTTCTTGGAGCCTAACCTTTAAAATTGAACTGAGCCACACTTAAAATTGTACCTGCATTTCCTATTAATGGCCATCCCAGTATGATTTTATCACAGTATAGCATTTTACAATGGGGGTTTTTTTATTTATTTATTATAGATGGTCATCAGTAGATAAAACAGCACTACAGTGACTCTTCAGACAATAATCCAGCACAGTTGGTGAGACTGTAAGAACAGCAAACAAAAAATCATATAGCAGAATAAGCAGGCATGTCAAAAAGTTTCCCTCTTATAGTTGTATTCGTTCCTGGAGCCAAAAGGAGAAGTCGACCTCTTATGTTTGTCTTACAATTAAGGTCGTTACAGAAAGGGGGGAAATGAGAATCATGGATTAGGGTAAGAAGACAGACCCAACCTTTTGAGAATACAGTAAGAAAAACAATCACAATCACAAGCAACACAACACTCCCTCTCCAATGAAATAATGATTTGTATGCTGTCAACTGCAACCGCTCGAATTCAAGAATGCAAATGCTTCTTCCTGTGTAAGCTTGCAGGTTCATGCTGCCGGCTGAGCGGAAGATGTTTTCGACACAATTAATTACCGTTGGGGAAGATTTAGTATAGAGTGGCAGAGAGAGATCGATAGATACCAGATTAAGGCAGCAGCAGTAGTCAATCGCGCGACAAATTAGTAATCTATCTGCAAAGGGTATGCCATTAATTTGGCTACTGGAATTCAAGATCTAGTTTCCTCTTCAGGTGGGATCTGTCAGCACTGCAACAAAATAGGAAAACTTATTATATATATATTATCATCTATTTTGGCCATCTGGGGGAAAAGTTTCATTGAACAACAGAGGAGAACATTGCCAGGCACGCAGGAAGAAGAAAAGGGAAGATCAGGGAGCAAACATGGTAATTTCAGTTTAATGCTACTTCCCATATTCTATTGGCTACTTGGCATTCTCATAAGATGCTACAATTAACACTCCACTTTTGAGTTTAAGAACTTCATTACAACATTACAAATCTGCCTCTAATTGGACATCGACCGGCACTAAGGCTGTTAAGAATTAACGTCTGTTTTTGTTCTTATCTATGGATACATGCCAACCTTCATGTATTTCACTTGGAAGCCTACATACACAATACTTGAAGCATAAAGGCCTCTCAAATTAAGTTCATACTCCAAATGAAAATCTAAGTTCACCTGGCCCCTGGGCAGTGAGAATTCAAACTACAAATCAAATCCAAACTTGTTTCTCTTTTCTTTCTGTAATGAAACCAAAGTTATGCCACCCACACATAGAGGAACACAGATTTGGTGTCAATATATCCATAAAAAAAATAAACCTAGCTATAACCCAAAGACTGGTCAATAAACATTTCCATATAATCCCGTCATCCTGCAAATATATCAGGAGTAGTTTTACCTATTGATTGTTGGTCTGCTAACGGGTCTTGTGCCGAACACTGAAAGATCTACTGACATTGGCATGTTGTCGGTTCTTCCCGAGTTATCACCAGCTGTATGTTGTCTCATTTGTGCATGTTCATCAATCTTATCAAGTTGTTGGTGGACATTCACATCAAAGCTTTCACGTTCAGCCATCACTCTTCTTGTCTTCCTCGGAGGTGACAAAACAGTTGGACCAGCCTGGGAATTCAAATCTGAAACCCTGGAATTGAGAGGTTGCCCCTTGGGAGCAGGCCTGGGAAGCTTAGCTGGTTCCGTAGGTAAAGGGGCAGATGAGAAGTACCTAATACCAATTACAGATATATTTATATAATATTATATTAGAAACCACACAATTTAGTAGACTCTCATCTAAATAAAGTTTTTCTTCCTCACCGGTGTTCCAATGCCTGTTGGATCGTAATCCTAGAGTTTGGATCATAAGTGAACATCTTTGATAACAGATCAAGGGCATCCTCGCTAGCCATTGGAAACAACTTACGCAAAGGTTGGGAAGGAACTGTTTGGTACTCGACATAATCAGGAAGGTATACCAAATCATGCCATTGGGAAGGTGTTGGAGTCCCAAATGCTTGGAAAATCTTTCCCAACTGATCAATGTCACTTGACCCCTGCCACACATCACACGGTACAGATAAGACACATATAATCACCAAAAGAGATAAGCCTTTTAACTTTTCCAAGATGCATAATGCACACTATCAGAATCAAAATTGACAAGGAGCCTATCATCTCTCCTCTTTGTTCTCGCGTGACAGCCCAGATGAGTAATAAATTTAAACTGGCTAAAAGGATTTCATATCAAATCAAAATTGCAACTTTCCATTGCACATTGCTAAGGTCAAATCCAATCAGTCAGCCGTCGGAAAGAAGAAGAAACTAACCAACAGCATCCCAACAGTGATTTTCTTTTTAGAAGTTAAATGTACACCGAAATAAAAGATTGAAAGAATCCAAACAACGGTTCAGTTGATTCCAGCTCCCAAATGTCACAGAATGGTACACTGTACCAGCGAGTGAAAGCTAAATATCCACAGGCCTGGTTGGCAAAGTTTGTGTTAAATACCATGGCCAAGACTTGGTAGATCAAAGAGAATCATTGACATATTATCTTGTAAATATGCCTATGACAGTCGAGGTTCAGAATTGGTGGGGCTAATTAGAGGGAGGCAGAAGGGGGTCGAGAGCCCCAAACTTTCTCAATTGTCAACCATTAACTGATTAACTATGTCCACATCATACAATGTCCTGGACTGGTGTGTGAAGATCCAATAATTAGAGTAACACCCCCAATCCCCAAAAAAAACCACACACATGCTGCAAGGGACAAACATGCTCCCACAGAAGATTAGCTTAGTGTTTGTAACAGCCATTATAAAGTAAATCATACTTGAGGACAGTGATGGAGAGCAAAAGAATGGAAGTTACTACAATAAACCGCAAACAACAATGAGCATTTTTACACTAAAACACCAATAACCATGGATTTGATTCTGAAGAAATCCTGAGCAAGAGAAGACAACCAACCTGTAGAAAAGGCCGGCGCAGTAGAAGTTCTGCAAGTATGCATGCCGCAGCCCACACATCAACACCAGAACCATACTGCTTTGCCCCGAATAACAGTTCAGGTGCCCTGTACCACCGAGCGAACACCTGAGCATAGAAGTTCAAACTTGTCAATTTTAATTATTCAAAGTAATAAATCATGAAACCAGAAAGAAAACTTTCAGACTCCAAAGGCAGTAAGAAATCAAAGATTCCAATAGACATTACAGATCAGTCGAGCAAGTATTGAAGAAAAATGCAGAAGAAGGTAAGGTCCTGTGAAAATACAATTATTCATCATTAATCTTGTTATACTTCATATACAGTTAATTTCGACAAACAGATTCTTACTACTGCTATGCCACTAACTAAACATATCCAGTTCCTCTCGTGACTACATGCAAGCTGAAGTTTTCTGAAATCATACAAAGATGAGCTTAATTCACCAGTATAAATGGCTGCTAGGACCGATTGCAGACATTCAAACTTTGATGTCAGAAAGGGCATCATGATCACAATCAAATTGAAAGAAAACACGAAAAAGAGGAGAATCCATAAACAGCGCAAAAAACATAAGCAAGCATGACAAATATCACAAAACAGGGGGCACAAATTTGTCAAATATAAACAAATATTCCATTCAACTTTTCTGTAGTTCCATACATCAGCAAACGAAACATACATGATGAGTGAACTTGCGATCAGGGCTCCCAAATACACGAGCTAAACCAAAATCTGCAAGTTTAAGTTGTCCACCAGAGCCTATCAACAAATTATTTGGCTTCATGTCCCTGCAGAGCACGTACAGAAAACTTAGACAAGGTGCAGCATATTTATGTCCCAAACTGACCAAGATTTAAGCAAACACAACATTCACCTATGCAAAACCCATTTCTTGTGGCAAAAGGCTAGACCTTTCAGTGTCATTTGAAAGTATGACTTGATATCAGCTGGTGAAAGAAATATATTCCTATCACGAATAACTGCTTCCAGGTCGGTCTCCATGAACTCAAACACGAGGTTTAAGTTTCCCTTGTGAGGAAATGCATCGATCAACTCGATTATATTCGGATCTTTAAGTTCTTTCAGCAGTTTAATCTCTCTAAGAGCAGTAAAATTCACCCCTTCCTTTTGCGTCCCCAGCCGAATTTTCTTGATTGCAACGGTCTGTCCAGTCTACAAAAGAGGACAAACTTCCATGATTAACCATAAACTATTCATGCAACTACGTTTGCAAGGTGAGGAATGTGTTCATTCATCCGGGAGAGAAAGCCCAGTGGCTGAAACTCAAGTAACCTAATCTCAACTGAATTGTTAATAATATACAGAAATGAAATGCTCAGCTCTCCCTAATCCCACAGAAACGTAGCAGGAAATTTCAAACGCCAGTAACACGCTCGTTTCCAACTACAATCTTTTTCCTCCACACAAACCAAGCAACCAAATCCCAATAACTTCGTAGCTTAGAAACCCCAAAACCCAGAAGGAAGAATTAGAGAAAAGAAGAGGAAGAAGTTGAGGTGGAGTTACCTTGGTATCAATGGCCTTGTAGACGACACCATAAGTACCTTCACCAAGAATTTCACGCTTGAGATACCTATCGGCAACTCTCTTTTCCTGATCGTTCTCGGCCATCGCGAAGTCTCTTGGTTTTAGGTTACCCAACCGATTTGATTGTAACTGAGATTGCAAGCACTTCTTGTGGGAATCAATTCTTCCAAAAAAGACCGACACGATGGAAGTGGAGCATCGTTGCTGCTTGGGTAGGCTGGAGGGAAGGGGAAAGTAGGGACGAAGAAGAAAGTGGAGGAGCGGGAGGGCTAGGCGGCGAGGCGAAGAAGAAGAAGATGGCCTGCCAGCCTGGATGTGCGGAAAAGCAAAATGGTCAATTACACTAACAGCGACTAAGCCTTTTGGTTTCATTAACAAATCTATAATAAAACTTTGATTGGTTAACGTTAGGAAATAGGATGGCAACGGCCAATGGGTAGTATAGTATCAGCCAATATTTAAGAAACTTTATTAGTCGGTTTTATTATAAATATAGGATATCGGAACTCAATAGGTCGTTTTAGTGGTACGAAACAATTAAAACGTTAGGTATGATTTCATAAATATTGGTATCAGGACGGATAGTGATTATCTTGAGCCGATAGCAACGGCCAACGGATAGTATAGTATCAGCCAATATTTAAGAAACTTTATTGGTCGGTTTTATTATAAATATCGAATATCGGAGTTCAAATAGTAGACGGTTTTAGTGGTATGAAACAATTAAACGTTAGGTATGTTGAGGATATTAATTATTTAGTCAAAAATAATTAATTCCTTGTCCTTCAAGTCCCTTGTCTCCTTGTTTTTGTCAAAGAAGGAAACCTGGTTGTCATTAGGGTTTTAACCCTAAGTCTCTCTATATAAGCTTAGCTACGAGATTGTAGCTAGTCCTCCGCGCACCAGCGATGTTCATCCCGCTGGCTTGTTTTGTTCATCAGTGATGTTATTCCGCTGAGCATAGTCGACCTAGGCGAAGTCCATTCCGCCATGGTTCGTCAATCGTCAATTGTTGGGGTTATTTGTCGTTGATCTCCCAAATCCGTCCAAAAGATCCCCGTTGTTGATTTAGATGAGCAGTCCCGCTCTCCACACGTCCGGTTGACCGAGGCGAAGTCCATTCTGCCTTGGATCTACTTGAAGTTTGTTCGCCGGCTCAATCATCCCGGCGTCGCTACCCTCATTCACGGCTGCAATCGTCAGGAGGGCCGATGTTCATTCCGGCTTCCCACTCCGTCTCCGCAGCCGTCGATGCCATCAGCGCCCTCGATATCATCATCGCCTCCAACGCCCCGTTTATCATGGGCTACAAGTAGATCATGGCAAAAGCCTTGCCGGCCTATCAAACATCCTCGCGGCCATGAGGTCTAAGTTTCCTCAGGCGCGTTCAAGTCCCCGTCGTAATCTACAATCAAGGTCTCGGAAGTCAAGGTATCAATCGAGAGACACCTTCCTCAACTCACGGTAAGGTTGTGTTCCCGGTCGAGACGTTGGCGTTCATCATTCAGTCGAGAAGCAAGGTCGCATGTCCTTTCGCATTCATCCTTCTTCAGCTCGTTGTCTCTAGGTCAAAGTTCGTGCTTTTAGTCCATGCTTCAGGATTTTTTTTTTGGATTTGGTTTCGTTCCTTAATTGAAGTCCCGACGTCGGCCCGCACAAGTGCCTCGCCAGTCCGTAATCATCCGGGTACGCAACGAGCTTGTGTTCTAAGAAACTGATCCAACCTAGCAACAAATCCCGTGTTTTTGGTTCGTCAGTTCACACGAGCAAAGTTGCTTTCGTGATCTTCGACTCCAATTTTGAATTCTTCTCATCTTTGCGGCCAAGTCTCCAGAAGCTTGTGTTGTTCGGTTGGCAACGTTGCAAAGCAGAAGCTTTCTTTGCTTAAATTATGTGGTGTCGGTTTGGATCATTAAAGTTGGGAGCCAATTTGGTGGGAGTCTGAGTTAAAGGAGTTCTATTATTATTATTATTGAATTCCTGCCTTGCGTTCTTGCTGGAGATTGGAAAAGGAGTTTGAACATCAAAGTCATGGCGTTGAAGAACAGAAAAGCTTTCGTCAACAAAGTTTGTCAAGCAAGCTAAGGTAGTCACGATCTAAGGAGAGATCGTCCCCTCAGCGTTCAAAATCGGGTAATTTTCAGTTTCACCATTTTAACTTTCAAGCTGGGCATTCCCGTCGTTCATGCTCCAGCTTGAGGGGGAGAATAGGAAGTCAAGTCGTTCAGGAGATGCAGTCAACCATCTCCACCATATCATACGGATAGACGTAGTCAATCGTCTCCGTCAAGTCATTCAAGAGACGCAGTCAACCGTCTCCGTCAGGTCGTTTAAGAGACGCAGTCAACCGTCTCCGTCATGTCGTTCAAGAAACGTAATCAGCCGTCTCTGTAAGACGTTCAAGAAGATGCAGTCAACCGTCTTCGTCAGGTTGTTCAAGGGAGAGAGTCAGTCGTCTCCAAATCAACCTCGTTCAAGATGTTATTCATCTCGAGTTTTGTTGTTCAAGCTGGTCATGCTTGTTCGTCACATTTCCTTTTTCAAGCTCGACATTCTTGTCACTCATGTCTTCGCTTGAGGGGGAGTGTTGAGGATATTAATTATTTAGTCAAAAATAATTAATTCCTTGTCATTCAAGTCCCTTGTTTCCTTGTCCTTGTCAAAGAAGGAAACCTGGTTGTCATTAGGGTTTTAACCCTAAGTCTCTCTATATAAGCTTAGCTACGAGATTGTCGTAAACAAGCCGTCACAATGTAGTCTCTAATAAAATATCAGTCGTGAGCTCGTTCCGAGCTCACCGTGGATTAGTCTCGATCAATCGATCGAGGATACCACGTAAAATATTGTGTTCTGTGTTCTTTTGTATTTCCACATCATCAAATTCTACAAGGTATGATTTCACAAATATTGGTATCAGGACGGATAGTGACTATCTATTTGATTCGGGTTTTATCCATGTCCATGTAAGATTCATATAGTAAATTAAAGGGTTAATATTTTATTTTGGCCCGAACTATACCCAAACTTTCTACTTTGACACGTGGTTTCTGAAATTGCTCTCAAGGCCCGAACTATGTACCATACTTCCTTACTTGGCCAAACGCGGGTTTTGACCGTCAAATTGGACGGTCAACTCCATTGATTATTAGTCAAGCGCTAGGTTACTTGTCACGTTAGCGAACTCGAAATAAAAAATTTTAATTTTGAATTTCTGTAATTATTATCACAGAAACGAATTAGATACTTTTGTTATCTAAGAAAACAAAACGAATTAAATAATTCAAAAACCGAATTTTTTATTGTGGGTTCGTTGACATGGCAAGTGACTTGGCGCTTGACTAATGGTCAATGGAGTTTAACATCCAATTTGACGGTCAAAACTCACACCGGGCCAAGCAAGGAACTATGGTGCACAGTTCGGGCTAAGATAGCTATGTCGGAAATCACGGCCCAGAGTAGAAAGTTGGATTATAGTTCATACCAAAATAAGATATTACTATTAACCCTAAATTAAACAATGCATATACTTTATAGGATATCAACGAATAATAGTTTTCCTTCATGTTATAAACTGTTAATTCCTCATTTCCCCAAACGCTCTCCCCTCTCTCTACTCTTCACCGTACTCCACTGCCTCCAAAGGGTGCCGTCGGCACCTCAGGTTGGCCGGCGGCAACCCATCCTTTTATTCTAACTTCCTATTGCCCTTATGCCAGCAGTTGATAGGCGTTTTCCAGCCCTCTCGGGCCTTTTCCATTTCCCTAAGTGGATTTCTCCACAAACCTCTCTTGCAGATGGTTTCTTTTGGCAGATATGGTCTGTTTTCTACAGATTATGGTTTATGTGTGGTTCCAGAATGAGCTAAGGAGATCTCTTTGGTTTGCTCTTATTCATCGAGAATTGTGTGGTCCTCCTCCTTGCTTTGCCCAAGATGTGCGGTGATTCGGTGGAGCCCGGTCTTCTTCTGTGAGACTCGATTTCCTTTCTTGTGGTTTGAGAGCAGGGTTGCCGATTCGGCTTTGGATGCGTTCCTCCTCTTCGGTGTTTGCTGCTAGGGATGTTCTTCCTCATGGCTGGGCTTTTTCTTCAGCGGGTGGTTCTGATCTCTTGTGGGAGTGTTCACCTCTTTTGGTGTTTGCTTTGGTCGGTTTCCCCTTCTCCCTTCAGATGGCTCGATTGCGTTTCTTCTGGAGCTATTTTGCAGGTGGGACGTCTTTTTCACCGATGTCTGCGGCGGCGGATTTGGGTTTTTTCGGTTGGATGAAGCTTTGCTGTAGAATATAGGGTTTTGCTTCCAAGTTGGGCTGGGTGTTTTAGTTGTTGGGCTTGTACTTGTGGGCTTTATCCTTTTGCTTGCTTTGTTGTACCTTCATTGGGCTTTGCCCTTGATCTATAACCTTCATTGGTTTATTTTATCAATGAACTAATGTTTCTGTAAAAAAAAAACGGTTGTGTTAATAATGACAAATATGTTAATATTACAAAGGTTAAAAATTATAGATAAAAAAATCACCTGCACAAAGAGAAATATAATAAAAATACTAGTTGTTTCTTCTTCCCTTTGTTCCACACAATTAAAGAGTCGCTTGAGATCTTTTTATAAAATTCAGTTGAAATTCGCGCAATCAAACTGAGCCCAAAGCTTTCCTATTCGATAATGGTGAAAATATATATTAAGTAAACTGAGAAACAGAGTCAAGGCCAAAGCGGCCAGAAAGCTGAAACAAGAAGCAAAAAGAGGGCGGAAGAGGTCTGTCACAAGGCGTGAAAGAACCCCAAAAAAAACCAGAAAAACAAAACCAAAACTCTATAACTCACATGTAATCAACAACAACAAACCCCAGCAAGACAAGAACAAAGGAAAGACGCAAAAGGGAAGAACCCACAGGGGTGCCGCAACAAACAACATCAACGGCAAAAACCAGAAGAAACATACCCCCCCCCCCCCCCACCCCAAACCACTTATACAGAGTGACCAGTCCTCCCCCACTTGCAATGAGAAATCAACCAATCTCCCACATACCGAACGATCTTGCGAGACACGTATACAGGCTGGTGGTACTCGTCCATGAACACTCTGTCATTCCTTTCGATCCAGATCAACCAACACGCCACATGGAGAGCACAGTAAACAAACCACTTCACGTCATCCTCGGGTAACCTGTCAGGCCAACAACGCACGGAAGCCTCCAAACTGATTGTTGGTCTTTCGTCCATTCTGCACCTTCTGCACACTTCAGACCACACTTCATGAGTGAAAGCACAATCCACGAACAAATGATCGATAGACTCATCAGCCGTCCTGCACAACTCACATTGATTGGTGATAGAAAAGCCTCTTCTTTTCAGGTTGTCGATAGTAAGGATCTTCGAATGAAACGCGCTCCACATGAAGAAATTGACTTTGAGCGGGATCACTTTCCTCCACACAGAGGAAGCGGGGAAATTCTGAACCCCTTGGAACCTGGCTTTGGACAGACTCATGTACAGTGAACAAACAGTAAAGGAAGAACTTTTCTCCAGGGACCAGGACATTTTACAGGGACCAAAAAGGGCAAACTAAGACTCGACAGAGCGAAGCAAATTCATAAGGTTCTCTCTCTCCCTCTCAGCCCCACCCCGCAAAGGAACATTTATACTAAAATCCCACGAAACACTCTGTCATTCCTTTCGATCTAGAGGGATAGTTCTTAAAGAACAACACCTTGTAGAAATCAATAATCCCATTAGCCACAGCCTCCCTTCCTTCCAATTCCACATCATTAATAATGATGCGATCAATGATATTAAGCTTTTTCTTGTAGTTTGCCACTCTGTGTAAATAACGAGAGTTGTTGTCCCCTTTATTCAACCAAAGTTCTCTCGACTTTTGGCGCCAACAGATTTCTTGCATATTGAGCACTCTTTCTAAAGTGGCGATGAGCTCTACCATGTTCTCCTTTTCATCCTTCGAGAGACGATGGGACTCTTCCACCAAATCTAGAGCTTTAATTTTCCCTAAAAAGATCATAAACTTTCAGATGGATATTACCAAAGACCTCTCTATTCCTGACTTTAATCTTCTGCTTCAAGGCCTGCAACTTGCGTGCCCACAGGAAAACAAAATCGTAACCTTGAACAGTACAATGGCACCAACGATCCATCTCCTTGAAAAAAACATTCATCCTCAAGCCACATGTTTTCAAACTTCCAGGGCCTATGGATCCTTCTGTTCTCCCCCCCAGCGGATAAGTAAAGGATTATGATCCGACTCAACGCGCTCAAGGGCTGATAGTGCAACATCTTGGTAGAAAGAATCGAACTCAGGCAAAACCAAGACTCGATCAATACGAGAGAAAGAGTTGCTTCCAGGTCGATGGTGCCAAGTGAAACTACTGCCCCCAAGAGGGAGCTCGAGCAGAGCGTTGACATCAATAAAACTGTTAAATTCCTCCATAAGTTTTGCACTTCTCCTCGATCCTAAATAATCATCGTGACTTCTGACCAAGTTGAAATCCCCCGCTAAACAAACAGGAGAAGTGAGAAGGCTGCACAACTCATTCAGCTCACTTATGAACACCAACTTGTCACTTCTGTCTTGAGGGCCATAAACCACTATCAGATGCCAAGCTTTGAGACTGACGACATCCCGGAATTCAATTTCTAGGAAGAAATAGCCTTCCCTGGTAGAAACCATTCTAAAAAAAGACTTATTCCAAAACACGACAATGCCACCTGAGCTCCTTACTGCCCCTTTCGCCACCCAGCCATAGTCTCTACTGCCACTCACGCTGCAAACCAGAGAATCAGAACAATGGTCCCATTTAGTTTCAATGAGCCCCACTATCTTTGGATTCTGCCGCCCAATTAAACGCTTTACTCTGCCCCGTTTCCAAGGATCCCCGAGACCGTTAACATTCCATATGATGATAGAGGTATTCATAGGTATACAGATGGGCACTCACCGCTTCCTCTACGCTTAAGATGCCTCGACCCCGGTGGCACCGGCGGGGACGGACCCAAGCGATGAATCTCCATATCCAGTTTTGAACGACCACTTGTGATCTTCCGCTGATGCAAAGATCGAGCTGTTTGGCAAACCAGCGTATCCACCGCTTCCATGCCTCCATCTGATTCCAGTTCCAATAGATGACTAACCATCAAGCTTTTACCTTCTAAGGTCTCCACATCGAAAGGGAAAGCTTCGACACCCCAATACAAATATTGATGCCTCTGAACGCGCATAGCAGAGGGAAACTAGTCGCAACTGGGGTTGGGGTAGTTGGGCACAAGATAGACGCTGATAATTCCAGAGATGCTGGATTTGATGAAGAAGGGGGTATAGAGCTCCAAACAGACGACTCACAGGGGGGCTGATGGCTGGCTCGCAATCTGGGAGGTCATCAAAATCAATCGGGGAAGAAATGGGGGTAGGATGATGGGAAAAGAGGCTCTCTAGGGAAGCGGTCGGAGTTTGGGCCCAAGAAAAACAAGCCACCAAGAGATCATAGACTGAATAATAGAGAAGAGGGTCTGGTTACAACGGAGGAAGAAACCACGTAGGTCCAATGAAAGTTTGCAAAAATAGCACATTGGTTGGGCTTATTATAAAGAGGGGAACCATTGTCCAACAAAGTCCCACTGCTACCCACAGAAAGGGCTGTCCAACAAAGTCCCACTGCTACCAACAAAGTTCCAAACAGGCCCAACCTTTCTAACCCACACTTTCCTCTCTTTCTTCCTCGGCTGGGGATTTAAATTCTGCACCTTCGAAATCCCCCAATGATTTTCCGCCTCCCCCATGCTAGACCTATCAAACTAGGAAACCCCGCTACTGCAAACACGAGGCTGCATGTAGAAAAGAGTACTCGAGTTACACTCCGGGGAGTCTAAACGACTCTTCTCGTTACCGATGCTGGCACCGGAACCCCCTGCCGGAGATGGATCAGCTGCCGCCGTCGGAGGCACCGAGATTCTCACAACATACTTGGAATTTTCAAACTTTAGAGGAACCTCTCTGGGATAGCACCGTCAGCCCTAACCTTGATACGCACAAACAGGGAACTCCAAGCATTCCAATCAACTTCCAGGAATCCGCCACAGAAGTTTCCAATGGATTCAATGAGGTCAAGACTTTTAAGGTGAAGAGGAATGTCATAAGCCAGAATCCAAACATCCCCTTGATACGAGCTCCCATCGTCCTCCCTCCAAAAAGAGACCCCCATGGAGAAGTCTCTGAAAATGGATCCATTGAAAAGCACGATCCGAGCAGCTTTCTGAATGCTGGGGCATACAAGGATCCACCGACCGTCTGTCAAGTCATCAAGAGAGAAATTATCGTCGACCGCCCAACATCTCTTCGCCCATTGCCAGAAACAGGGTAGAACCTTCTTAGAGAACACTTCATTATCCACCGAATTGAAGACTAACACCAAGCTCCTAGCAATGATTTCCTTCCTGACCTGAACACATTCATTTCCAATCTCTATAAACCTCCCATTGCCACGACCTTTGATAGCACACTTACCTCCGCCATAAAAAAACCCCTCTTCTGACAGCATCCGCATAGGAGCAGCCAGCAAGTGATGGAAGAGGATGGGGAGGTTCATGTGGGGACGATGAATCCTTCTTGCAACGTGCCTGGAGCTCGGCAACATAAAAATTCTGAAGAAGCTTAGTTAGCTTAGGCCATCCATCCCCATTACACGAGGGGATCAGAATTCTAAAAGCTCTGCCACTCTGGATTTGTTCTGAAACCTGAAGGAAAACACCATGGCGATTAGAACCCCGCCCCACGTGGATGATACGGTTTCCACTCCTCTTCAAACATCCTTTTGAGAACCTCCAGTCTCTCATGGCGGCGGTCTGAAGGACCCCTTGCAACCACGTTAAAAGTTGTTCATCGAGCACGATAAACCACTTCCTATTCCCGACTTCCACTTGGACTCTGAAAGATCTGACTCTGTCTGACTCCCCTGTCATCACTGACACTAGCTTAGATCCCATCCATACCTGCCGCTTGCAAACCTCCGGACAACCACCGCTGACGCCAGATCCTGCAACCTCAGACCTACAAGGAAGACAAACGTTAGACAACACTCTCGATGGACCTCTCACCCGACCTTGAGAACGACGACTCTCTTGTCCAGACTGACTCGCTCTACACATTGATTCTTCTAAAGCTTTTCTTTCGTTCCTCCAATTGATTCATCGTCTAAAAATTTGCTAACCCTATCGAGCAGTGCTGTGAAAACCGAGCCGAGCCGGCCGGCCGGCCGAGCCGCCAAAACCGCCAACCGGGCACAAAACCGGCTCGGATGAGCTATTTAGCCGGACTGGTTCTTTGGGGCGGCCGGCGAGCGGCCGAAGCGGTTAACCGCTCGAACCGCTCGAGCCGGTCGTCCGGTTTTTTACATTCGACCGGTTGGTTTAATTAAAAAAAAAAAGTTCAAAAATTAAAGGGGGTCGGGGTCGGGCTGTTCTAAGCAGAACCCTAATTTTTTTCATTCTTCTTCGTGGAGACAAGGAAGCGCCGCTTCCGACTCCAAATCCGTTTCCATCGCCGCCGTTCCCCTTCTCCATCGCCGCCGTTCCTCCTCGTCGCCGTTCCCCGTCTCCATCGTCGTCGTCGCCATCGCCATCTTCCCCAGCACCGTTCCTCCTCGTCGCCGCAAATCCATCGTCGTCGTTCCTCCTCGTCGCCATCTTCCCCAGCGCCGTCTCCATCGTCGTCTTCCCCGTCGCCGTCCTCCTCGTCGCCGTTCCTTCTCGTTCTCGCTGCCGAGGAGGAAGACGTTAGAAGAAGGTAGCTAGCTCCTTCTCGTTCTCGCCTGCCCGCCGATTCCCCATCCGATTCCCCATCACTGCCGAGGTAAAATGGACAGTAATTGGCATTTTCACTAATTTAATTAGCAATTAGTAGAAGAAGGTAGCTAGCTACCTATCTAGGGTTGAGCTATAAATTACTTACAAAATCCCAGAGGTAAGTGAAGGAAACGTTAATCTCATTTTATTTGCTGATTTGGAATGCGGTGACTGCCATTTTCCTTCAATCAGTTGCTGAGTGCTAGCAAACTGTGGATCCCTTAAGTGCATTTTTCTTAATCTAGCTTATGTTGCTCACTGAGACTTAAAGAAGTTTGTTTTTGTACTGATGTTCTAGAATGTGGTGGTTTGGAATTGAATTTTAGATCTTTCAATACTGATGTTCTAGAATGGTTTAAGAGAGTAATTTACTTGTGGTTTACCATGATTAAGAAGTGTCTACTATTATAGATGACTGTTTATTAGGTATCGGTTCTCAAACTGTTTTTAAACGGTCTAATGCCGGCTGGACCACTAATAACCGAGCCGTTCACGTTACCGGGTCATACTCCGGCTCGGCTTTGACAGCATTGCTATCGAGGAATCGGGATTTTGATTTGTTTGGTTCCCTGTTACTTCCATGTTACCACCCTCATTCTCTATCTTTCTCTTCACCCCTTCATTTGAAGAACTCAAAACTCTTCTGAGATTTCCAAATCAAATTTTGTCATAAATAAGAAAAAGTTCAAATCTCAATCCCTATAACCGGATGACTTTGTTAAACTGAAGCTTCATAATAACAAAAGAAAGAAATTGAATCCCGGTGAAGGGATGAGATAGAGATAATTTCTGGAGATTCGGATTGAAGGGTGCTCATGAATCATTAAGTGAGATTATAACAAAGATTGATGGGTACTCATGTAACTTGCTTCGTGTTTTGTATTTTTTCGACGTCAATTTCACCGGTAACTAGAGTAGATTATTATGCCTTCGTCAATACCCGATCGATCGAAAATAGCTAAGCTTGATGGTGTTTCTAAGTTTGACGGATTTCATGAACGAAATTACTATATTTGTTATTATTTAAAAAATGACTATATTTATTACAAAGGTTGAAGTTTTGGTTATGTATTTTGTCTAAACTAAATTGTAGTTAATATTCAACATTTAATATCAAAATTGGTGTTACTTGAGTTCTGCTTTTAGAATTAGTATCCTTTTATGAGATTTTTTTCCGGTAATTAGTAGATTTCATTAATTGCACCCTCCCGGCCAAAACAACACAAAGGAGTCGAAAAAATACAAAGGCTCAAAGCCCACTCTCCTCATACAAACAGAGTAACCAGAAGCCTAACCAGCTACAAAATCCTACCACAGCTAGTAGAAGATTGCAGCTGAGTGGCAAACTCAGGGTGCCCACACGCATAAAGCCTAATCTCATCCCTGATTAAATCACTAAGAACTAGAGCTGTACGAGGTGCCTCGCCATATACTCGTCGACATCTTTCCTTCCATACCCCACAGATGCACCAACTCCACACTCAACTTTCCACTAAACCAGAGCTACCAAACTGCTTGATACGATTGACCATGAACTGCAGCATGGCGGACCAGTCATTTTGAACTTGCATATTATATCGCAATACACCACTAGCAACCTCCTTAATGTACTGACATTGACAAAAAAGATGAGAACGATCTTCCTCATTCACAGAACACAAAAGACAGGCACTGTCAGATATCATTCCCCAGTTTTTGAGCTTGGCACGGGTATTGATTCTGTCCAGTATAATCAGCCAGATCAGAATGCTGTTCCTGGGCAACATGAACATATTCCAAACTACTTTCCACCACTCTGCTTTGGGCTGTTTGTTTCTGATCGACCCCCAGACAACAGATACAGAGTATTTGTGCATCTGTTTTCCTTGCCATGTGACAACCCCCTGCTCCAATTGCATTCTATATAGTAGCCATGATCAAATACCAAATGTTTCTATCATTCAATTAAAAAAATTGTAATAAATACTACTTAGTCTAGTTGGTCATATTACTATTCATTATTTGAGTGACCTAGATTCAAATTTCATTGACGAGATTTTTAATCTATAACGAAAAATTAGGCACAATTACTAAAATAATATTCATAGAATTGCTCAATGACCACGAAATTTGAAATGAGAACAAAGTTTTATCACCCCACTGTAATAATAAGTGTAGATAGATAGATGTTGTATTAGGGATGACAAAGGGTCAGGGGTAGAAAATGAATATTTATTACCCAACTCGAAAATAGTTTAGGTTTTACTCTTTCTCATACTCAGATAAGAATCAAGTAGAAAATCAAAATCATGCTCGTACTCAATAGAATTCTCAGATATCCATGAGTAATAACTTATCTTTATTAACTTTAGCCAACATGTTAACCATTACATTTATATTGACATCACATAAGTGGAAAAGTACAACAATAAATCACTAGAAGTAGAACTAAGAAAATTAGGGGTGTTCAAATGGTTATCATGGTATTTAACAAACCAAACAAGTCTAATTTCTATTAATTATGGAATACAATATCATAACCAAACTGCCTAAACTAATGCAAGAACCAAATTAACCAAACTAAAATTTAATCGATTTGATTAGTTGGTTAACCAGATTGACCAATATGACATCACATTATCATTAAGTGAGAAAGAAATTTGGTTAATACTTAATACATCAATTCACAAATAATATAATGAATAAGCATAATAATCAACACATAGTTATAGGTAACCCTTACATAAATACATACAACTAATACTAATACTAATACAATTATCTTACAGTCAATAAAAGTATTCACGTAACAAAGATAAATGCAATGGTATGAGGTTAATGAACTGTTGTGTTTATGTGAATTGATTGAGTCTTTTAACAATTATCATAGGCCGAAAAAGATACTTTTTTCAAGTTATAATCCAACATAATGTATGAGTTTTATATGAATTAGACATCCATATGTTGTGGTCTACACTCTATAAATACAAATATACAGTATAGGAACAATATTGAGTTTTATCTTTTATGAGCCTAAAAAGGAGGAACGTTTGACTCTTAAGTGGTTAAGCAAAGTATTAAGTATGTATATATAATATATATTAGATATATGACTAGTTACTTAACTTGTTAATTTGCTACGATTGGTTAGGAGTGTCTAAAACCAAACCAAACCACCTAAGCCAAACAAGCTAAGAATTTTAACCAAACAAAACCAATTATCCAACTTAATCGAACCGAATTTCCAAATTTTACCGGTTAAAACGGTCATCACGGTAACCACTCCGTTTGAACACCCCCTAAATAAAATTAGCTAAAAATTTCTATTTCGTGAAATTTTATTGAGTATATTAAATATTGAATACGTTGGGAAAAATAATGTTCATTTATATAGGAAAATAGAAATTCATATTTATAATTGGTCAGGTCCTGGTTGTTAGGAAAAAAACTATATCCACTCATTACCCACAATATTCAAATTCAATTTTTAATCATACATCGTAAAAATTCTGTAACTTCTGAAATGAGACAATCTGACTCGATCGCCTAAAAATTGCCTCATTTAGTAAACGATATAAGGTTCATGTATGGAGTTTAACCACTTCCTTACATGTCATAAACCAACTGGTCCTAATAGTTCAAGTTGTTGGAAAAAATTCAATTATGAATATTATATTATCTACTAACACACCCTCACAAATGAAAGCCAACTCATAGAGGTCGAATATCATGTGCTTAACAAATGGGGTTCGTCAGCTTTAGAGTCATGTCATAAACCAACTGGTCTCAACAACTCGAGTGTTGTGAGATGTTCGATTATGAATTTTATATCATTTAGGGGTCGTTTGGTTTTGGTGATTGTTTGGTTGGGATAGTTATAATGCATGTATTGTCCACAATGCATTATTTTTTTGAAATTTCTGCACAAACAATACATGCTTTGTTTGCTTGATGTGATGAAAACTATCACTCAAATGAGTGATAATATTATCTCTACTAAAATTTGAGATTGACGAGATAGTTTTGAGGAGATTGTTGAGTTCCTCTTTTGTTCCAACTATACCCCTAGTTATATCTATTTGTTCTAATAAAAGCAAGGGAAAAAGTGATCTTTCCCACGAAAAGTAATATAACTTGTTGAATAATGAATACTAAAAAAAATATCACCAAAACCAAACAATACAAAGTACATTACATCATTTTTCTTAATTGCATGTATATTACCATACATGCATTGATCACAATGCATTGATTTAAGTATCACAAAAACCAAACGAAACAAGCCCCATGAAACCAAGTCAAGTCATATGGGCTTAAAGTTTGCACATATCCGAATAAATGTATTTAACAAATGAGAATCATCGGAATTCAAACACAAGCCCTCTCAATCATCAAACTCTATTACAGTGTCATAAATCAACTCGCACCAATACTCAATTTGTTGATATATATATATTATTATGAACAACCTCATCTCACAATTAATACATTATTTCATAATATTTGACTTGTCAATTCAAATTAATGTAAAAGAGACACAAAATTGCCACAATCATCATATCATTACAATACATCCCATTTTATTCTAAAGAACCTCTCTTGAACAATCGCTACATACATTAGTTCGCGTCACTTTTCTCGTTACATCCAGAAAACTGCGCCAAGTTGGCAGCTGATAATGGATGCACTGTGTCATAAACCTCTCTCTCGAGTACTGCTCGGTGGTTTTGCCCAATAGTTTCTATTCACCGTCTTTCTGGCATGTTCAGCACCGGCTCCCGCCACAAGCTCTAGAGAAACCCACGTATTAGCCGGAGGGCTTGGCATTCGCCGAGAAATTCTCCGTTGTTTCCATGGCTACTCTACGCCGACTGTTGAGAACTGCACGCTTCTCCCGTTCCGTCGCTGCCTCTTCCAAAGCCCTCCCCGGTCTTCCACGCGCACTCCCTTCGCGACGGCTCTGTGTGTCATCGTAAGCTCACCCCGCCCTCCTCCAGCAATTCATACTTTAGGGTCGCTAATGATCAGTTCCCTCTTCTCTTCCATTGAATTTTGCCTTCATTTTGATTGGGGGTTTTCTTTGATTCGCCTAGTGTTGGGTCCTTTGAATGCTACTCTCGTCCTGATAGTCAGAGAATTCCCCGGCCATTGTTAGTGCCTGATGCTACCAAGCTCAGCTCTGTGTACCCTATCCTTCTTGCTGGTTTGCTTGGCGTTGGGGTTAATGTAGCTTGTGCTGATGCTGATCAGGTTTTTTTTAACTGCTTACTATTTCAACGCATTCTTCGTGTTGTAGCAAGGTTGTAGGTGTGTAGAGAATTTCAAATTTCAGTGGTTCATTAAGTTCTTTTTTGTGTGTGATCGTACTAGGGATCTGAACCCTTGCCTCCTCTGCCATCCGGGGCTCCTGCGAGTTATGCCGAGCTAGAGGAGACAGCCAAGAAGGAACGAAAACGGATCGAGAATGAGCTCAACAGTAAAGGAATCAAATATGGTTCCTATCCTGCCTTCACAATCGCTGTCAAGGGCCAAAAGGTCATCAAATGCCTGCCATTTTGAAACCTGGCAATGTTAATTGCCACCACTTTTGTTTTTTTTTATGGAAATGGCAGTGGCAGCGATTTTTCGCTTCTGCCTTTTTTCAGTTCTCGCTGTCAGTACACAATTGTTGAATATCTAAAGTGTAGCTTCGCTTTTTTTATGATTGTGAATGAACTTGATACTGTTGAATATTTCTGACATGATGGACGTTTATTAACTGCAGATCACGATCAAGTTCCAGATTCCCCCTTCTTGCGACATTCCTCATTTGATAGCTCATCTTGCATCACATCTTGGATTAAATGCCAAACAATCTGGGGGTGGTCGGGATATGTTGCTACGTTCTTGGGACAGGTCAGTGAATGGGACTTTCAGGGCATTTGCTAAATGTTTTCCAGTGTATTCATCATTTGTTGCTCGATTTATTGAACGGTCTCTCACCTTCGTTATGATTCCAGTACTGTTGCGTGGCAATTGATACTTAGTCAGCCATTGAGGGAAGGAACCAATGAGGACAAGTCCCCAAAAGGAGATGAAAATTCACTTGATGGGGCCGATTTGTGCATTGTCTTATTTCAATCACTCATTACCTCAGAGAAAGCAGTTAGTGGATTTGGGGGCATCAGTTACTTTGATATTATATAAAAAAGCTTTTTGTTCCCCTGTTTTTAGTTTGTAGACTCACAAAGTCTGACTGTAAAAATTTGATTATTTGTTATAGGAAATCGAGTTCATGAAGCGTGGGAGCTTGAGCGCTGTAGAGCTTAATGCTTTGGTGTCTGTTTTAGAATTGGCTGGTGGAGGGTTAAAGAACTTGGAAAGAAAACCAGGTGGACCTGCTGTACGGGCACCTGCAACAGATAAATCAGTCGCCAGTCTGAAGGACATGGGAGTAAGAATATATGGACTCGAGGAACCTCTTATAAATTCTTCGAGCAATGAGATTTCGTGGGAGAACATAGCTGGTTATGATAAGCAAAAAAGGTAGGCTGCATGTGATTGCTTGTTTCATCTAACTCTGAACATTATTTTTCAGGCCAAATTTACTCAGCATTTGATTATCGTAATATCTGTAAGTCTTAGTGTAGCCTGAATTGAGAGGGCTCCTAAGAGGGCCAAACTATAAATATTTCCACGTTTGTATGTAAAATCTTTTTCATTGATGGAGTTTGAGTCCTAGCAAGAGGTCAAGATATTGGTGAGATATTTTGGTCATCTACGTAGACTGGTGTGACTGATCATTCTCAATTACCTTGCTTCTAAAACCATTTCATTATGTGCATCCACACCTTGAAACCAATTTTTATTGCACTGTCCTTTAAGTTCACATCCAGAGAGGTGAGAAGCAGGAGGAGAATATCTATATTATGTGGTCATGCAGCTGAGCTCATTGCTTATAGTTCCTTTTTTTTTTTGTTTGACTTATAGTTCTTAAGTTTCATGCATATTCTCAATTTAGTGATTATGAAGGTCCTTATAAGTTTTTTGCATGGCTGTATAGAGAAATAGAAGACACAATATTGTTGGCTCTACACAATCCTGAAATATATGATGACATTGCTCGTGGGACTAGGAACAAGTTTGAGTCAAATAGACCTCGAGCCGTCCTTTTTGAAGGTCCTCCAGGTACTCAAACATCTTCCTTTTTTTAAGGATTACTGGAAAAATGAATATGTAAATTTTATGGTAATTTGGGTTATGGTAGCACTCTTAGTAGATCATTTAAGAATTGCATTGATTTAATAAACAAATTATTGACATATCCAGGTACAGGGAAAACGTCTTCTGCTCGTGTTATTGCTAATCAAGCGGTGAGATCATTGTCTCTCGTCTCTTTATGTATGGATCAATATTCTTCGTCTTACAAACGACACTGCAAATTTTCTACTTTTTTGTTCTGATCGCATGTATATTTATTTCCCCCAAAGCATGTTGAATTTCAAGGGCTGTAGGTGGATTTATCTAATAAAATTCAATGCTTGGATGTTACTTTGTTCGTTCATTTGATTAGTAGCCATTGCTACTAGCTGCTTGTGAATTGGATGATACTAGTATCTATATAAACTAACTTGTGGAACAAGGATTGATATACCTCAGTGACAAATTGCAACTGTATGCAGTTGTGTATGCTTTGCTTGTATTATTTAATTTGTTAGAAAATAAGACAAAAATACATTTTATAAGATAGATTGCGACTTCATGATAGAACCCTCCCTTTAGAAAGGGAACTATTTCAATATGGTAAGACGCAGCCTGTCTACTGTTTAGGATAAGGCCAGAAGAAGACTAATAGTCGACACATGGTTCTGAATTACTGACTTCAGTTGTTTGGTATTTGAAAGGACACATGTACATCATATAGTTTCTTAGACATAAAGGTTTTGAGTGCCAAACCTAATAGCCTGCATATATTCAGTACTTGCTTCATCTTTGACAAAAAGAAAACATTCTTGTCAAATTTGCTGCATGATTGGCTTGTGATAAGTAAGCATAAAATATCACCAAAAGTCCAACACCGAAACTTGTGAGTTAATATAGTGTATGCGACGTGTGCCTTGGCAGGGTGTTCCACTTCTGTATGTGCCATTGGAAGTCATTTTGTCAAAATATTATGGGGAAAGTGAACGTTTGTTGGGGAAAGTCTTCTCTCTTGCCAATGACCTCCCCAATGGTGCCATCATATTTCTAGACGAGGTAAGAGATGAGTAATTCTTGTATAGATGATTTGGCTCCAACTTCTAAACACAGGGTCGGTTGGATGTTTTACATCCATCATTACCTCTAGGCAAAAAAAATTGGGTGTCAAGGTTCGAGTAATTTTGACTTCATACATTTTCTGTCCTCCACCTTTAGTAAAACTGCAGAATTCATTACTCCTGGTTCCTCTTTTTTCCCTTTTCCTTTGCAGGTTGATTCTTTTGCTGTTGCTCGTGATAGTGAAATGCATGAAGCTACTCGTAGAATTTTATCAGTATTGTTACGACAGGTAAAGATGCAACCTTCCCTGCCCTCAAATATGTGTTATCTCTAGTGTGCTCAACTTGTCGGCCGTTCTTTTCCCCCTAATCTCAGCTTGTCGTGCTGGGTGAATATGTACTATCAAACTTAAATATTAAGTTGTTTCTAGTGGCCGAGCGAACATGGTCACCGAAACAATCATTAATGGTCTGTCTAACTTATGCATTTTGTAGTCTGCTTAACTTCATAGCTGTTCTTTCACTTTTTTTTCTTTTGCCTCTGCATCTTACTTTAATTGGCTAGGCTGCTATTGTTTACAGATTGATGGATTTGAACAAGACAAGAAAGTGGTTGTCATTGCTGCCACAAATAGGAAACAGGATTTGGATCCTGCTTTGATCAGGTATTTCCTTTGAAATTGTTATGTACTACGCAACCTTGAAAATTAGCGTATTCCCTGACCCATGCCATATGTCTTTCTTTTTTCAGCCGGTTTGATTCAGTGATTACCTTTGGTCTGCCTGATCACATGAATCGCCTAGAAATTACAGGCCAGTATGCAAAGCACCTCACAAAATCCGAACTAGAGGAATTTGCTACAGTCACCGAAAAGTGAGTGATACATATCTTTTTTGATGAATTTAGTCTCTCAACGCGTCTGTTTGTTGGCTATATGCAATGTGCATATGGAGTTCTAGATGATACGGCGAGAATGAATTCTCTACCTTGCAACAGAATATCCATCCTGTGAAACTCTGAGCGAACATTTCCATCGCTATCATGGGAGATGTCTTGTTCAGTTTGTAACTCGACGAGTTGACTTGTGTGTGACCTTTCTAGCTTTATCTATGTTTAGACATTCAATCATACGAAAATTCGTGTGCTTTTTATTTGTCCATGTTAAGAGCTTTGCATAACAACTTGGCGTTGATTGTTGATGTCTGCTTCTGTATTCAGCATGTCTGGGAGGGACATTAAGGATGTGTGTCAACAAGCAGAACGATCATGGGCATCCAAGGTAAAGTTTCCTAGTACTTTGACAGCTATATTGTAGAGTTGTACATTTTGCTGAATTTTGTGGACTTACTAGTCAAGCTATGGTGGTGTTTGTTGTGATAGATAATAAGGGGACAGGTAGGCAAAGAAGTAGTAGAAGATGAGGAGCATAGTCGTCGTCGTCTTCTTCCACCGCTTTCAGAATATATCGAGAGTGCCGTAAGTCGTCAGAAGGCACTGCCACTGGGCTCGTCGGAGCAGATCATTCAAGGTCGAAAGAAACTTCATTTAGATTTTCATTAGAGTGTTGAAGCTGTCAATCATATCAAAGAAGATTGCTTGATAATTGGGTTATGCAGGGTGATAGTACTGTGTATAAGATAACATCTAATCTTAGATAGACCTTGTAGTACACAAGTAGTGTGGTGGGTGGCTGTGGCATACAATATGAAATTTCAGATTCAAATCCTAGTTTACTAATTCAACAGACCTGAGCGTGTCCAGGGAAGATGCATCCTGTATTCTCTTATGACCGCGGAAATCTTTGTCACTATTAATCGGTAACGTTTAAAATATCTCTTATGATTTGTGAAAACCGAAGTAAATGTGGCAGCTCATATTATAGCGCATTGCGAGACAAAATAGAATGTATGTGCAGCTTAAGTTAAGCTATAGAGTATAGACCACTCGAGTTTTTTATTGATGAACTAAAACGAGAGAATCAAAAACAATATTCTAACATTCTAACCCTCATTTATAGCCGAAATCAAAATCATTAATAACCAAATAGAACTTGCTAACCCGTAAAAAAAAAAAATGGAATTGCTAATGACATAAGGCTGGAAATCACTAAAACAATGGTCAACACATGCTTAATGGGCTGATCCGACCCGAATTCCTAGAAATGAGTTTTATCCATGGGTGGCCCAAGCCCATACTATATACCGGATCATTGGGCTTGGAATTCCAGTACAGCAAACGTCTGAAAAAAGGCCAATACTAAGGTGCCGCTATAAAAAGTGCGGCATCGGTGACGCACTCTCTGATTGAGCCACCTAAGGTATGATGTGGCAGCGGTTGGATTCATTAAAATCAATCCAACTCCATGGCTCACGAGAACTGGTTCAAACCAAAAGCTGCCCAAAGTAACGGACTAAGAGCTTCCGTCTTTCAATATTTGAATCCATCTTCCCTCACTATTTTTGTATTCATGAAATTATTTGAAGTTCATTTGACAGCATTTGTTTATCTATGGAGTGAAAGAAGGATCCAAAAACATAGCAAAGGGTCGTCTTCCCCGGTCTCCCGGCTGAGTGTGAAAGGAACAAAATGCTCTGACGAACTTCTGCGCCAGCGATGTAATCTCCCATATATCTTCTTCGATTCAGCTCCACAAAAATCATGCACTATCTCTGTTCTCTATATCGCATTCCCCTGATTTTGGCCCCCACGTCCTAGATCCGAATTCCGATACTGCGTCGGCCTATCTGTTCGCTTGGTTCTGTAGGGTTTATGGGGTCGTAACGCCAGATAGTATTCGATGTGAACCCCCCTCATACGTGGTCGACATTGCTGCTCTTGTTTATCCAATTATTCAAAAAGGTTAAGAGGTGGAGGAAAAGTTGTTGCGTTGATTTATCTAAGGTAGGTTCTGGGTTAGCAAACTAGCTTTTTCTTTCAATTTCCATTTCCTAGGTCGACGAAGTCGGGCGTTCTTCATTTAAGTGCTGGTGAGGTTGAGGAAAAAGACCGGTTTTGATCAACAAGCATTGGGTGGATTTCAGAACCCCGTCGTCGACCATTGCCAATTCAGGCCATCTTAAGTTCCGTGAATCTTCTGCTAAGTAAAACCCCCTCTAGTTGATCGTGAATGAAGGAAACTCGTTATTGAAATTTGTGGATGTTAAATGAGCGAATGATCGTGAATGAAGGAAACTCGTTATTGAAATTTGTGGATGTTAAATGAGCGAATAAGGTATTGGTTGGTAATGGTATTCTAGGGGCCAAGTTGAAACAACCGAGGCTAAGTTTGAGAATCACCAGAAGTCTATAAAGGTGTGAAAGAAAAGCAACTGCTTAACTTCCCAGAACACAACAGTTCCTTCCATCCAGTAGCTGCAACACTCTCGTATCATAGTCATAGGAATGTCGGAAGAATCATACTTTTTGATGGAAGTATAGATCACTTAGAGCCTGATCGAGTTGCAGTCTGGTCTGAATTGGCTGGTGAGTTTACTTTGGTTCCGTGGTCTATAATTATGTTGAATTCTTGATAAGGGATGACTTTTGACTGTTATCATTCGCAGGTGATTGAAGAATTTGATTGAAGAATGCAAAGGATGCATGCATTTTTCATTTACACATTGAGACAGACATTGAGATATATACCGGAACAATTAATACATTATTATCGTTTGTGAAAAAACAACAGAAGCTAAACTTATATGTTTCTTGAGGATTACTACTTGGATCTATAGTTAAACCTTACCATCTAAAAGCTTCCACGAACATGTATCCACGATATAGACATTACCAACATAACAGAATATTAAAAAAAAAACCACAGTTTAACAAAAAAATCAAACTAGAGTTTACATCATTTCATGTTCTTCTGCAACCTGCATAAACGCAGAGGTTAGGCATAAGATCTTAAAAACCATATGATCATACATCATTAGACAATGACAAGGGCAAAAGATGAAAACAGAGAGCAGAACTAAAACTCAGTTCAATTAAAAGATCTGAAGCAACGAAAAAAAAGACAACGACATTGGTCATATTTCAATCTTTTCATCACTGGGAAACAAATTCATCATCAACTATACATAAGCATTTCCATTCTACTGCCCTCTTCCTTCAACTGCTCATAACTATATCATCCCATTACGAGCTACTAATGCTCAAGGATGATTTTTTTGTAGCTTTGGAGATCTCCACCATGCGCTGAGAAATCGCCGTCCCATCACCTGGAGCAACGGAAAAATGCTTCAACCAATGGAAAATTGCTTCAACTTACGCTTAAGCCAGCAAACTGGAGCTGCAACTGCAATTAACCAAATAGATTTCCATCAGGATGCTACATGCCACGGTCTCTGATGATGTATGATCAGTAACAATAGATTCCTATGGTATGGGAAGCATCATACTCATTTGCTAAGGGTTAAATTGCTAACCTGTAACCCCATCGAACATGATCCAAGCTCCCAAACCTTTAAATTATTTAAAGCAGTCATTCACGGTACCTAGTTCTTTTTTTTCGTTGAATCACAGTACCGTTACTCACGGTACCTAGTTCACATACCATAACACTACCCATGTTTATGCCAACTGAAAAAAGCACTTAGCTGCAGACACTACCCATGTTTATGCCAACTGGAAAAAAAGTACTTAGCTGCAGAATGCCCCAAATGCACTGGTAAAGCAATCAATATATGAAGCCAAGAGTATAATCTCAAACATCAGAGCAAGAAAAGCTCCATCAGGGAGTAACATAATGACAAAGTAATTTAGTTCATATAGTTTACTAATAACATAATGACAAAGGAATCACGTCATCATCAAGGTCTGGTTCTTCCATTTCAGATGCCATGAAAGCATATGCTAAACGTTGATAAGCAGCAGCTTATAATGAAGATGCACGAACATAGGTAAACTGGCCAAGTACATTTCCTCGTAGTTTAATTATGAGAAGAAGTAAGGCAGCTTACAAAATCTAAGTCTTCTTCAACATAATCAGCAGAATGGACGACTCCACTTTAAGTATGGCTCTTAAACTTCATTCGATCTTCTTGATTCAACTGTGACAAATACGGTTACCAGTAAAACAAATGGTGTTTATAAACTAACTGTTTTAATGAACAAAAAGTCGGCAAATTAGGGACTGATGTCTCAACAGCTATTTGGACTTCTTCAGGACAGGGAAGCTTCTCACAGAGGTAAACTCCACCTACCTGGCTCTTATACCTAAAATGCTAAATGATGACTGCATGAAGCAGTTTAGGCCTATCTCCTGCTGTAACATCTTTTATAAATGCATAGCTAAGGTCCTTGCAAACAGATTACGAGAGGTTCTTCCCCTAGTTATAAGTCAAAACCAATCTGCCTTCATTAAAGGGAGACTCATTAGTGATAATGTGTTGCTTGCTCATGAGATGGTTAGGCTTTATAATAGGAAATCTGTATCACCTAGATGTGCTTTAAAGGTTGACATAATGAAGGCATTCGATAGTGTGGACTGGGACTTCTTGGAAACAGTTATGGGGGCAATGGGGTTTCCTAGCCAGTTTGTAAAATGGATCAGTATATGCCTGCACAGTACCAAGCTCAGTGTTAGCTTTAATGGGGGCCTCTGTGGTTATTTCTCTTCAAAAAAGGGGTTGAGGCAAGGGGACCCTTTGTCCCCTTACCTATTCACAATCTCAATGGAAGTGTTGTCTTGTATGTTGAATAGGGCCTATGTGCTCAAAACTCTTCCCCCACATCCCCAAACACATAGGATAGCTCTATCCCACCTTTGTTTTGCGGATGACTTGCTCATTTTTACTAAAGGGACTTGTGAGGCAGTGGAGACCACAAAACAGATCCTAGACATATTCTATACTGTGTCAGGATTGAAATGCAATCCAACAAAAAGTGAAGTTTTCTGTGCTGGAATAGATGCTGAAACTAAGGGTCAAATCACTATGAGAACTGGATTTGTAGTTGGGGCACTTCCAGTACGTTACTTGGGAGTCCCCCTGATTGCTGGGAAGTTAAATACTGCTGATTGTGCTGCTTTAGTTGAAAAGATAACTGCTCGAATTAAGGGTTGGAATGTCAGAGCTCTCTCCTATGCTGGGAAACTGCAATTAGTTACAGCTGTTATTTCTAGTATAACACAATACTGGATGGGGATTATTACTCTGCCTGTCAAAGTGATCAAGCAGGTTGAAAAACTCTGCTCTGATTTTCTTTGGAATGCTGAGGAGGACGGAAAAAAGGCAAAGATAAACTGGAAATATGTGGCTAGGCCAAAACAGGAGGGAGGTTTGGGGTTCAAGGATCTCAGAAGTTGGAATTCTGCCTGTCTTATCAGGCATCTATGGGCGTTGGCTTCTAATTCCTCCTCTCTATGGGCTCACTGGGTTCGTCAGTATCAGCTCACCTATACATCTATCTGGGACATTCCATCTTCAATAAACTGTTCTTGGGCATGGAGGAAGGTCTTAATGCAAAGGGACTATGCAGAGAACCATCTATCTGTTAGACATTCTGAGGTCTATTGGGATGGCCAGCTTATGAGCAAGTACTCAGTAAAGAAAGTTTGGGAGTCTCTTCGACCCAAATATGATAAGGTTCCTTGGTATGGATTAGTCTGGAAATCTCTATGTACACCTCGAGACAAAGTTCTTGGGTGGCTTATTATCCTCAACAGGATAAGCACATTGGACAAGGTGCAGGCTTGGAGTCCATCTGTTAACAACATATGTCCCCTATGTACAGCTGCACCAGAGTCAAGAAGTCATTTGTTTTTTGATTGCCCTTATTCTCAAAAGGTCTTGCAGGCTGTCTTTCACTCGAGGTTCCAAGTAGGAGGAAGCTGGGATGAGAACTTGGCGATTGCTTTAGGCCGGTTTAAAACAACTTCACCAAATTCTGACAGGGGCAGGCTGTTTTGGTTGACAGTGGTGAGTGAGTTATGGCGAGAGCGGTGTCGACGGTTGTATGGTAACGAGACTCTAACAGAGGAACAGCTGCTGAAGAAACTGCAGCGGATGCTGCTTTTACTAAGGAGTGGTTTCCCTCAAGTTAGTTCAGTAGTCAGTGAGGCCGAGATAATCAGTATAGTGTAACACATTTGTTTGATTCTTGTTTTTAGACAGGTTTGTTGTTGTTAGCTGTTGTAGTTGTAGCCAGGGTGCTTGCCACAGTCTCTGTAATCAGACAGTTTGTAGCTTGGTACCAGTTAGAATGGTGTTTTACCATTCTTTCTTGATGAATACACAACTTATTCATCAAAAAAAAAAAAAGTCGGCAAATTGATGATCCATTCACCTGCTTATCTAGAGTGTAAAAGTCAGTGTCATGTTCCGAGTATACAATGTCAGCTTGAAGTAACATAAAGAAGAAGAAGAAAAAACAGAAGGAGAGAATGTTAACTAGATCTGAACCAGGATATCAAAGAATGACTTACAAATTCATGCAAAAGGATTTTCTTGATGCTTTCATATTCATTAAACCTTTGAGATCATCAGTTCTAAGCCACAGTGATATATCCTTCCTAGCCACGGTTCTGAACAAGCAAACAAAACTCGCACGAATCAATATGAAATTCGATGAAACCATATCTAAGTCAAACTGTTTGGATATTGGAACCAAAACAAAATTAGATCTCTAGAAGTTCATAATCCAAAGGAAACAGTTACCTCATTGAATCACGGCTCATTGGCTGATGTCAGAGATGAAACGGATACGGTGACAACCCCCTTGGGGGTTGTCAGATTCACAACCAAGGGTATTTTGGGTATGAAAAAAAGGAATATATTAATTACCTTTTTTGTATTAATTATATTGGAAATTAAAAACCCATATTAAATACAATTTTTTTCTGAAATTTAAATCCTATACATTAATATCTCTATCTATCTCTCTCTCTTCCTTTCTCCAGCAGCCACTCCGCATCGACCGACAAAATTTTTCTCCGGCGAATTCTCTCCGGCAGACACCCTCCGGCAACCTGAAAAAATGTACCAATGCGTTAAAAAGGGCTTAATTGCAAGTTTGGTCACTCTAATTGCTACAAAATTTCACGTTAGCCACTCAAATTAATTTATTCCATCCTTAGTCACTTAAATTAGGTTAACAGTCCAAGTTTGGTCACTGGCCGTTAGTCTCCGTTAACTTTTGCTGATGTGGCGGTCAACTCTTATAGTTGACCGTCAAATACATGACGTGGCAATTTAAAAATTTAAAAATTTAAAAATTTAAAAATTTAAATTTCCACCTCAACTATTAAAAAACAATCTTTTCTAATCTAACCTCGGCTTGGGTTGCTCCTGAAATCTACCGGGCCAAGACCCGACTCGGGTTGGAGCGGTGACAGGGAACTCGGCCAGTGATGGGATAATGAGGTCGGGAGCAGCTATGGCGACGGTGGCAGTCTGGTTATCTCTCGCCGCCGCCGTGGCATCCGCCGCTAACACGGACGCTTCCTGGTGGGCTTACACTCACGTCCACGTGGTGAAAGAGTTCAGCGGCGGCCGGATGTTGACGGTGCACTGCAAGTCCAAGGACGACAACATAGGAACGCACTGGGTTGGGCCCAAGTCGGAGTACGAGTGGAGGTTCCGGCCCAGCATCTTCGGGAACACGCTGTTTTGGTGCCACGTTTGGAAGGGCGACAGCCAGATCGTTTACGACGCCTATTACGCCGACGACGACAAACTGTACGACAGGGTCTACATGGACAACTCCTATTGGGTGGTTAAGGACGACGACTTCTATTTGCGTAAGTTTTGGAAAGGGATAGAAAATAATTTCTATTTATTTATTTCCTCTGTTAGTTCCGTGTATAGAGTTTTGTTAGTTACAAACGCTCTTCTGTTAGCTACAATCTCTCCTCCTCTCTAGCATCCCACTTCTCACGATCTATCAGATGTATTAATTGTATATATTTCTTAGTTGTTCTCAATAAAATATTCAGAAAAACCTTTCCTGCATTTTGTCTTTCAGTCACCTGATTTGAAGAACCCGGGGTCGACGGTGGAGACTTCAGCGGTGACGACGATGATGCAATTCGTGGAGTTGTCTGGTGAGAACGAGAAGCTGAAGAAGGACAACGAGCTGCTGAGCTCGGAGCTTGTCAGCAGGCGAAGAAGCAGTGCGGCGAGTTGATTGCCTTCATGACGGGTTACGTCAAGGTCGGGCTGGAGTAGATCCACCGCATCATGCGGCAAGGGGAAGCTTGCTCCTGGTCCAGCAGCGATGAAGTTGCTGTGGCGGCAGACGGCGGGCGCCAAGATGATGACGATGAAAACAGGAAATCGGAGGATTGCGACGATTACGACATCGGCGGTGGCGGTCTGAAGCTGTTCGGGGTGCTTGAAGAAGAGGAGAGAGAGGAATGGCGACTAGCTGTGGAAAATAATAATAAACGAGCTGTGATTTTCTTTTTTAAATTTTATGATGATTAGGTGAAAAATAAAAAATATTTTTTTTTTAATTGCCACGTCACTCATTTAACGGTCAACTATAAGAGTTGACCGCCACATCAGCAAAAGTTAACGGAGACTAACGGCCAGTGACCAAACATGAACTGTTAACCTAATTTAAGTGACTAAGGATGGAATAAATTAATTTGAGTGGCAAACGTGAAATTTTGTAGCAATTCGAGTGACCAAACTTGCAATTAAGCCGTTAAAAAGTATACCAATCTATTAGTCTACTGGTAATTAATATACCAGTGCTAGTGGTACGCTACCAGTACGTTAAAAAATGTACCAGTACTAGCGGTACCAGTAAAAAATGTACCAGTACTAGTGGTACGCTACCAGTACAACGCTACCAGTAGAGAATAACACAACGCTACTAGCATTGGTAGCGCTACCACTAGCATTGGTAGCGGTACCAGTAGCAAATAACAAAAAAAAAAAAACAGATGATAGTGGTACCAGATGATAGGGGAGCCACTGGTATTGGTAGCGTACCAATAGCGCTACCAGTGGTATTGGTACCAATAGTGCTACCAGTGGTATTGGTACCGGTAGAGACTATCAGATCTGGAAAAAAATTAGGGATGAGTCTTGACCTCACGGTGGCGGCGACATAAAAATGGTGGCGGGGGGGGGGGGGGGGGGGGGGGGGGGGGCTGCTTCTCCTTGATACTGCTTATGGGAAGCTACTGCAGCTGCTGTGATGGGGATGAGATCTCATCCATGGAGGCGGAGAGAAGGGGAGGAGAGGAAAGAGTGAGATGAGGGTGGGTGGAGAGAGGCGGCAGTGCTGTCTGGAGAGAGGGAGGAGGGAAAGAGAGAGATGAGGGGGAGAGGGAGGAGTTATGGTTTTTATTTTATTTATATGGGAGGGAGAATGATTGGGTGTGTTAACATTTTTCCTTTCCAAAAATACCCTTCTTTTAATCCTAACCATCAACTTAAAAAAAGAAGAAAGAGACAGGAAAGAGAGTGTATCCAACGGTTAGTGAGTGGGTTGTGAATCTCACAACCCCTAAGAGGGTTGTCACCGTATCTCATCCCAGAATTGAGATATAACGCCATCTATACTATTTTTTATACTTACCTTGTTGGGATCCATAAAGCGAAGGCGCTGAGCAGGTAAGCTTGCTAGAGCCTCTGGAAATGGTGGAGAAGAAAGAAAACTCGTAGTTGGGTCCTATGTGATTGCCAACGATGCCACACCACTACTCAAGACCAGTCGACCAAACTTCTTCTCCTTCCCTTATCGCCTTCTGCCGTAAAGAGTCTGATGCAAACTTAAATTTCGCCGTCGTTATTTCACACTGCCGGAGAGGGAGAGAGAGAACAGACAGATGGTGCCGGAGATTGCAAGACGGAAGCTCTTCCTCCGTTACTTGGGGTAGCTTCTGTTTGGACCAGTTCTCGTGAGCGATTGGGTTGGATTGGGTTTAATGAATCCAACCGCTGCCACATCATATCATACGTGGCCCAATCAGAAGAATGCGTCACCGATGCCGCACTTTTTATTGCGGCACTATAGTATTGGCCCTGAAAAAATGAAAGATACGGTGAAACTGCGAAGACCCTCCTCCGCTTCGCCGTAGTGCGTAGTTCTTCTTCAAGCCTACATTTCCATACTGCGATCGAGGGTTATTGTAAGAACTTCTTCCTATCTCTGAAGGTACAGCAACTTTGTTAAATTTGTTTGCATCGTATTTTCTGGTTATATTGTGGTATCTACCTCAAGTTTGCACCTTTTCTTGGTGGGTTCATACTGACAGTTGTTGCTACCTTCTGTCCAGCACAGTTCAATAGCTCGCCATGTGTAGGAAGATGATCGTCAACAACTGCATCATCTATCGAAACTGCTCTCCATTTCTTTGGCATAGAAAATTCGGTACCACTGTTCTCCCTTACTCTTCTTCTGCTAGTTCCGCAGCCCCTCTCTCGTCATACTTCGCCTCCAATCCAACTCCAACTACTACTCGTACCTCCAATTCTGCTACTTTGGCCAGTGTAGATGATGCCATGGATTCATTTAATCGGATGCTTTGCATGAGCCCTAGGCCGTCCATTGTGAAATTTGGTCAGTTATTGTCTTCTCTCTTGAGAGTGAATGCTTTCCAGGCTGCCCTCTATGTGTCTAAGCAGATGGAATTAGTTGGAATCCCCCATGATCTTTACACGCTTAACATGTTGATTCGATGCTTATGTAAATTGGGTCGTGTGGATTTTGCCTACTCAGTTCTCAGCAAAGCTTTGAAACTTGGTCTTCAATTCGATGCGGTGATATTCAGTACCTTGATTGATGGGCTATGTAAAGTTGGAAAAGTAGTTGAGGCTGCGAGGTTGGCTCATAAGATCAAGATTTTGGGGCATCAACTGAACGTGGTCGCATATAACGCAATTATTTGTGGACTGTGCAAGGCAGGAAGAACAAGTGATGGGCTTGAATTGCTCGGAAAAATGAAGGAGTTAGGTTGTCAACCTGATGTAGTTAGTTATAGCACAGTCATCGATAGCCTCTGTAAGGATGGAATGGTATCGAAAGCTTTAGATGTGTTTTCAGAGATGAAGGATAAAAAGATTCAGCCAAATGTTTTTGCTTACAGTAGCTTGATTTATGGTTTATGCATATCAAGCTCTAGGAATGAAGCTATGAAGTTGTTGAATGAAATGGTAGAGAGGAACATCATGCCCAATACAATCACCTATTCCATATTGGTTGATGCTTTTTGTAAGGAAGGAAATGTTTTGGGCGCTAAAGTTATACTCAAAATGATGATTCAAAGTGGATGGCGTCCAAATATTATCACATACAGTTCACTGATGGATGGGTATTGTTTGCGGAACGAAGTAGACAAAGCTAGAAAGTTATTCGATTTTATGGTCAACATGGGATGCAAACGTGACGTATATTGTTATAGTATCATGATTCATGGATATTGTAATGCTAAAAGGATGGATGAAGCAGCACAATTATTGAATGATATGCTTGAGAAAGATTTGACTCCAAACACGGTAACATATACTACTCTCATTTCTGGATTTTGCCGAGCAGGGAGGTTTAAAGATGCACAAGAAGTCCTTAGAAAAATGCACAATCAAGGTTTCTCTCCAAATGAAGTGACATATGGCACTTTGTTGAATGACTTGTGCAGACAAGGTCATGTTGATGAAGCACTGGCTCTGTTTCAAGCAATGGAGAATAGTAGGTTGAAGCCTGATGTTGTCATGTATAATATCCTCATGGATGGTCTGTGGACAACTGGGAGGGCTGAAGAAGCAAGAGACATGTTTTCTAGGCTTTCTAAAGATGATAGTTTGCGACCTGATACCCGCACTTATAACATAGTAATCGATGGACTTTGTAGACAAGGTTTTGTGGATGAAGCATATGGTTTGTTCAGAAATATTGAGGGGGATAGTTGCCCACCCGATAGTTGCTCTTATAATGTGATGATCCAGGGATATCTTCGACGTAAGGATCCGCTTGAAGCATTTGACCTCATTCAGGAGATGGTTTCTAAGGGTTTCTCAGCTGATGCATCCACAATGTCCTTGTTGATAGAAAAACTGCCCAAGGATCAGTTGGATCATTTGATTGTGCAAAAGCTTCTGAATGGTCCTGATATCAAGAATGGGGAAATAGGGTCTAATGGTCTATCAACTTCTGGTACTCTAGTTAATTGTTGATTTTGTCCCATGGAAGTCAGTTGGATATTCCAGTAGTTCGCACGATGCTCTTCAAATCCAGAAGATTCTCACGGTACAAAAAGCGATGTTATTGAGGCTCAGAGAGAACATCTCAAATTTAATGTTGGTTCTGCTGACGTCTGTGGAGTGCATGGTCATTTCAACCATTAGATGGTATGCCTAAGTTGTGCATTATTTAGTCTGCTTAACTTGCTGGTTGTTCTTTTCGCTTCTTTATTTGTGCCTGTGCATCTGATTCTGATGCTGCTTTGCTTACAGATTAATGGAATTGAAAAAGACAAAGTAGTTGTTTGCTGCCACAAATAGGAAAGCTGGATCAGGATCCTGCTTTGATCAGGTATTTCCTTTGAAATTGTTCTGTGTGCGGACTGAGTTCTCCTTGAAGATTGGAGTGTTTCCTGACCCATGCCATGCGTGTCTCTACTTTTTTCAGTAGGTTTCATTCAGTAATTACCTTCAGTCTGCACTTGAATCGCCAAGAAATTACTGGCCAGTGTGCAAACCACCTCACAAGATCCGAACTGGAGGAATTCTCTAATTTCACATAAAAGTGGGTCGTACAAATCTTTTTAATGAATCTAGTTCCTCAACATGTCTGTTTGTCGGCTATCTGCAACGAGCATGGGGAGTTCCAGATGATACAACGAGAGATAGGAATGAATACTTGGTCTTGCAACAGAGTGAAGGTTTCCAGTACAATTTTTTGGAGATATCTTGCTAGCTTGTAAATCTTTTGGGTGAAGGTCTGTGTGACCACTACACCTATAGTGTAGTGTTGTAATGTAGGATAAGGTGAAAGATGGATCGTATGAAAGCTTGTGTGCTTATATTGGTCCATGCTAAGAGCCTGCATAACATGGCATTGACTGTTGATGTCTGTTGCTGTATTCAGCATGTCTGGGAGTGGGAGGGGCATGAAGGACGTGCTTCAACAAGCAGAACGATCATGGCCTCATGGGCATCTGAGGTAAAAGTGATCTAGTATTTTACTGTTATATATTTGTATTATAGAGTAGTACATTTTGCTGAATTTTGTGGACTTACTAGTTAAGCTATGGTGGGTGCTGGGTTTCATATATATTAAGGGGACAAGCTGGTAAAGAAAATAGTAGAAGATGGGGAGCATAGTCGTCATCGTCTTGCACTGCTTTCAGAGTATATAGAGAGTCATGTAAGTCGTCAGAAGGCGATGAGGCTGGGCACATCGGAGCAGAGCATTCATGTTTGGGAGAAACTTGATTTATATGTTCATTGGAGGAGTTCAACCTGTCATAATAATGGAGACTGCTTGAGCAATCCAATGTGATAGTAATGTTTATAACAGAGCATTCGTAGATTGACTAGCATACATGTACTGTGGCATTACCATGTGGAAGTTTTAGGGTTGTTTGCTTGCTTGTGGGATTTGAAATGTGAAGGTTTTTGGCAAATTATTGTCTTCAGAAAATAATGGATTGGTGTTGGATCTATTAGGTCATTATATATTTGGAAAAACAATTGTCTGCTTGTTGGGTTTGATGATGAATTTTGATGAATTAGATTTGCAGGTATGAAAATAATGAGTTATATCGCATCATCTAATTGTGATCCTATCTCAAATCCCATCAAGGTTTTCCAAATCCATGGGACATGAATTTAGAACCTCTGAATTTGTGGTCCTACAAATTTGATACCCTTTTAATTCTCAAGCAAACATTGTAGGCTTCAGCCAAGAGGCCCATACCAAATAGGACCATTCCAGATTCTCTTCCAAGTGCTACTAAATCGGGTTGACTCGATAACCCAGACCCACATGTACATGGGCGTTGGGTCGTGCTTGGGCCGGTACGGCACGGACACATTTTGGGTCCATTTATTTCGTGTCGTGCTTGGCACGGCCCGTTAGTTTTCGTGTCGTGCCATGCAAGCACATTTGTTAACTTTGTTAGGCCTGGCCCAGGCCCGAACACAGTTCAAATCGTCTATTCGTGCTCGTGCCATGCTCGTATTCGTGTTTAATGAAAAAGACGAAAACAAAAGAGAAAATAAAAAAGAAGGTGAAAATTGGACGGAGGAAAATAGTATTAACCGATAATGTTTGAGAAAAGTAACAAATAAGGGGGAAAAGAAAATTGGAAGTATAGCGAGTGTGATTTGGCTTTGTTTAATTCTTTGTCCATTTTTACTTATGTTAGTAATTACGTATATATCTTTATGACACTTCTAACAACAACAAATAATTTTTTTTCTACTTTGTTTTGTAATATTTGAACCTATAATTCTTTTTATATTTATTGTCTATCAAATAAATATTATTTTCGTGTCATGTCCGTTCTTATACTCAATAAAGTCTCGAAAATATTAGGCCCGACACGGCCCACTTATATATAGTGTCATGCCCGTGCTCGTGCCCGTGCCCATAAAATTTAGGCTCGAAACGACCCCTAAATTATTCGTGTTCGTGTCGGGCTGGCCTTTTTATTTCGTGCCTGTGTTCATGCTGTTCTCTAACCATGTCGTGTATGCTAGCCCGTGGGTGCCCACGTACAGGCCCACACAAAGTTATCGAACTTGAGCAGCGTCCAGCTCTCTAGTCTACCGGCAAAAAGTTCCTCTTCTTCACACTTCCCCGCTCCGCCGCCGGCACTAAGAGCAGATTCGTCGGCTTTCAGCTGCTTCCACGCCTGCAAACGGTAGCTATAAGTCTCCCACTTCTTCAGGCAAGGCAAGTTCCCAACTTTCCTCTTTGGCCCTCCCAGTCTCAAAGTTCTAGACTTTCATGGCGGACTAGGGCTGGAGCTTGATTTCAGCAATAGGGGTTAGCTGATGATACTGGATTGAGGAACTGTATAGAACAATGATTCTGAAAAGGATTGATAATCTGATTTCAAGTCCTTGCAATAGGCTGGCGGCAGTATCTTTCATTGCTGCCTTCAGTTCAAATTCTCAGCCTCAAGTCGAAACAATCGCCAGAATCATAAACGACCATCCATTTCCAGAACAGCAATTGCTCCCAACTTTCAGAGCCCATCTCCCACCTTCTCTCATCTCCACAACCTTCGTGGAGAATGTTCTAGGCCGTCTCTTTGCTGCACATTCCAATGGACTCAAGGCCCTGGAGCTCTTCAGGTTCGCCCTCCGCCATCCCCATTTTGTCCCAAGCTCCGATGCATTCGAGAAGACTCTCCATATCCTTGTGAGGATGCGGTACTTCGAGAAAGCGTGGGAATTGATGGAGGAAATTGGGAAATCGCACCCTTCTTTGCTCACCACCAAATCCATGAGCATCATGCTGTCCAAGATTGCCAAGTTTCAATCTTTCGATGAAACACTCGATGCTTTCGAGAGGATGGAGAGGGTTTTTGAAGGCAGAAGTTTTGGGATCGAAGAGTTTAATGTCCTCCTTCAGGCCTTCTGCACCCAGAGAGAGATGAAGGAAGCGAGGTCGGTTTTTGTGAAGTTTCATGATAGATTCAAGCCTAATACCAAGACCATGAATGTATTGCTGTTAGGGTTTAAGGAATCAGGGGATATTAGTGCCATGGAACTCTTCTACCATGAGATGACTCGAAGAGGGTTTAAGCCGACTAGTTTTACTTACAGTGTCCGAATCGATGCATACTGTAAAAAAGGTTGCTTCAGCGATGCACTACGAATCTTTGAAGAGATGCAGAAGGCAGGATTTCCACCGACGTTGGAAGTATTCACCACGTTGATCCACGGAGCAGGAATTGTTCGTAATGTGCTCAAGGCAAGGGAACTATTCGATGAGATGCGTGAGAGAAACTTGCAGCCTGAAGTTGGAGCTTATAATGCATTGATCAGCACATTCATCAAGTGTAGAGAATTGAAACCGGCCATTACACTAATGGAAGAGATGGAGGAAAACCATCTAGCCGTCGACAATGTGACCTACCACACGTTATTTGTAGGGTCCATGAACTCGAGTGGCATTGAAGGAGTTTACGAGCTGTACCAGAAGATGATCGACAGGAAGTTTGTGCCTAAAGCAAGAACGTCTGTCATGCTGATGAAGTTCTTCTGTGTGAATGGGCGAGTCGATTTGGGGATCGAGTTATGGGGTTACTTAATGGAGAACGGTCATTGTCCTCACGGCCATGCGCTGGATATTTTGGTTACAGGGTTATGCTCACGAGGGAAGTTGGAGGAAGCTTTGAATTGTTGTATGCAGTTTGTCAAGAAAGGGATGAGGTTGAGCGACTCGGTGTATAGAATGCTGAGGAAGTTCTTAGAGCAGTCTGCTGATAAGGCTGATGAGTGGAAGGAGCTCAATCGGATGATAAAGAAGCTTGAAGGCTTCTTACCCCCTTCAAAGGGTCATGCTATTGGTAATCTTTCGATAGAGTGATTTGTGTCTGAAGCAAAGCCCTTGACATAAATTTATGATAGCTTCTTTTTGCTTAAAGTTTCTGTTTGCGCAAAGGTTGCATTCCTCTGCTTATGCACTTGAGACCACCCAACCATGATAAATATCAGCAATTTCTTAAAATTGGACGATGCAGAGTACACAGTCTTGCCAGTGAGGTAGTGACCATCATCAAATAGAGTTTTCTCAAAATAGTACGCTATACAAATCAGACCAGGTAGTAACGTGTACAACATATCTCATTCTTAAATGGTAAAAGAAGGGAAAATGAAGGAAAACTGATCTTTTGGTCATTTTCCATTAGAGCAAAGGCAGGCATGACTTAAGGTCCAATCTAACTACTTGTATCTCTAGTCCTTCTGCTACTCATACCAGCATACAAGATGCTTTGGTTTCATTTTTTTCGTCAGCTATTGTCATTTCTTCTGAAAATGAATGCCTCGAGAGCCGTGTTTTTCGTATTCAACGAGTGGAATCGGCTAGAATTCTGCACAATCTTCATACACTTGGCATGTCAATGCATTGCTTTTGTAAAGTTGAGTGAATCAGTGTGTAGACATGCTGAGAAAACTTTTCTGGGAACAGTCTGATAAGATTGATGAGTAGGAGTTTCCAACTGATAAAGAAGAAGCTGCAAACTATTTTACCGCCATCAAGAGGCGCCATGTTATCCGGTTATCTTTCGACAGAAATGACTTGTCTATCAAGCAAAGTCCTGAACGTTTATCATAACATGGCTTTTATACCGCCACCAGCATCTGCATGCTTGCATTATACAGCCTGTTCCTAGTTCGTACTACAAATTCTTAACCAAGAGCTCTTCCTTCAGTCATGGTGTATGTATTATAGAGACAGATAACAAACAGCAACGCTTGTCCAGATCAAAACTTGCGAAAACGAGATGTAGCAGTCGAACAGTAAAAGAAATTGCGATAAACCACTACAAACTTCGATAGACTTTGATATCAAGTATGTCAAATTGTACAACTGGCCGATACGATAAACCACAATAAACTTGTACAGACTTTGATCTCAAATATGTCAAATAGTACGACTTTGTTCTCCTTTATTTTTTACCGCAGAATCCGAGTCTGTTGAGTTACACTGTCTGCTGACTTGATCAGCAACTATTGCAAAGATTGAAAAACGCTTTTACCATTTTATTTTACATTTACATCTCATATTTACAGAATTAATGCCCTCAAATTTCTCCTACAAAAATCTCAGCACCCCCCATCTCCACCCTACCCCAAATGGTCTATTTTGCCCTCTTTACCTTCCTATGCAAAGTAGAGAACATATTGATTTTATACATATAAACCTCATCCCCACAATCCCATTCATTCATAACTATAGCAGCCTAATTCTACCTTTGCTTCCCTCCTATTATATTCCTGTCATTATTATTGCCATCCCTATAATTATGAAAGAGGAAAAAACTTGTGAGCATCACCCAGCATAAAGCCGGAGAGTCGTCAGATGCTCTTTTCGCCAACCTTGACCACCTCCAGCACCGTGGCATTGCAGAAGAAGCATCTGTGGCAGTTGAGTAGATGTCTGGTTATGCAGCCATAGCAAGAGCGATGCCAGCAAGGAGCAAACTCTGCGTCCGCTTCACTGGTGTAACAAATGCAGCAGATGGCATCGTCGTTTTTTGCTTCTCCCCTGCTTCTTGTCGTCTGGACTTGATCCGACTCAATACGGGTTATGAGAAGGCTCAAGAAGGTCTCGAGCTGGCACAGCTTTCCTATGTAAGAGTCCCCGCGACCACAGGTTGCCTGATTAACCAATGACAATGAGAAGTAAGAAGGCTAGTACTTTGGGGTCAATTGTGTAAACAGTCACTAAACTTCGAGCACTAACAAATTGGTCGATGAAGTTAACTGGTGTAACTTACCCAGTTGTACTCTAATAGGTATTGGAACCCACAGTGCACTGTGTCAGGGCAGTCCATGCTTGCAAAAACTCCGACAACATCATTCTGATCCTCACCTTCCTTCCCAATACTCGCATCCAACAGATTGAATATGATCTCTACAAGAGGCGCTAATATCATACCTCGATTCACTTTCTCCATGGTCTGACCATAACGTCGAAGTGACCTGCCGAAACAAAAGGAGGTCCTATATCAGGAGCAAGAAGACTGATAGTAAACACACGGAAATAATAATATAGAAACAGAAGCTCACAAGTCAAAAAATTCAGCATCAGCAGCTGAAGTTATGTGGTTGAGTATAAATACGATCAGTTCGGTCAGTCTTCGGAGGTTTGTATCGGCCCCAGATAAAAATGCCTGAGGAATCTCACGGGTACAGAACTCCAAAAGCTTTGCCAGGTTGCATGAGAGGTCAAATATAACGCAGCATTTCCTTTGCTGGAACTCCAGCACCTGCAATGATGTAAGATGTTAGCGAAAGATAAATCAAATAATTCTAGATAAATTCCTTCTCCAAATCCAACAATGAGGCAGTTCCCACATACCGAGTACTGAATATAGCAGGTTTCCCATGCAAAGAAAGTTAAATATTATAAGGTACCTGGTACTTTTCTTGCATTTCCCGAACAGAAACAGAGAACTCAGTCATCGTCCAGCTTAGAGTATTAAAAAGTCGATTAAGGAAACCCGAGAATAACTCCTCATCACCTACGCAAGTTTCCCTCAGCAACATCTACATAATTATAAGATAACCAAACAAGAGAATTGAACTATGGCTCCCAAATAGTTAATATGACAAAGAAACAAAATAAATAAAAAAAGCTTAATTCACCTGGAAGACCACTGATGATGACGATGATGATTCTCCATGCTTCGAAGATCCAAACGAAGAGCCCTTGCACAATCGCAAAAGAATGTTGGTCACTGGTATCCAAGATCTGTTATCGAAAGCAGACAACAATGATCTTGGCAGTATCTGAGTGGCTGCCCTATTGGTCTCAAAAGTTGCCACATGTTCCTTGTACTGTACAAGCACTGATATCGACTGCAGAAGAAGATCCCTGAGATCTGCACTCAGTATTCTCGGGTCGTTGAAGTGGCTAACCACAAAAGTGACCTGATGATAGAGAATGGCACATAATTAACACTGATGTCCTTGGAAAAGTAAAGAAAAGGAGGGTTTAATAAGTGAAGAAAACATTGCTATCACAGCGCCAGTCAGAGACTGGAACTGAGACGAACCAAAGCATATGAAAACATCTTCTTCTTTTTTTTTTTTTTTGTCTATGTCAGGTGGAGCATTAAGTTTAGAATGAAAAATGCATTAAAAATATGCATGAAGGCCATCAATGAACTCAACCATCCACAAAATAAAAAGAGTGAATCCACCATGATGTTGGAACCATTAAAAGTACATGATATAGCAACCTGGATTGACTTCACGTACTCATTTCAGACAGCTACAAAAGTTCAACAAAAAATTAATTATCAAAATCCACTCCCCTAATATTTACAGACGAGAGAGCCAGAAGCCAAAAATATATTAGAGAATCTCTGGATATCCTACAGGACTAGTGAGCTTGTGCATCTTTTGACTTAAGCACAACCTCTCCCGAAATTTGCATCTCGAAGAAAAGCAGAAGTCAGAACTCATGGAAAAGTGCTCACTTGTAGGTGTGACATTGTAGGAAAGAACGATTAGAACTGATTACTAACGGTAAACAGAAGTTATTGCTAGGGAATCCTCAGGAACATGTGAAGATGCATAAGGTACAATTTCTAGTTTGAAAGAACAGGTAGGTCATAAAAGCTTGTCACCTCCAGTTAAAAATAAGTGGCCAATTCTCAAGTTTGCTTATGTGGGGAAGATAACGGATCGGAATATTGATGGTAGAACAAAGAAATTATGGATGACAACTTGACAAGATATGGTTCAACAATTTCGACATTTGAAGCAAGTCAACTTTTTGAGGAATATACTGAAGCTTCGCTTTCTCAAGATTCATTGAACAGTTTGGCAACGGGGTCTTTAAATTTTCCACAACAGTTTTGACATATATACATTATGCTATGAAAAGGTACTCATTGTCGTCCCTTCCCATCTCTCACTCTGCACCCTGTAAAGAAACTTACCAACTGCTCAAACCAATGGTTCCTTGAAGAAACACTTCAATATTTGTTCCAAGTTTATTGGCACACTCCAGGAAACTTAAAAGCTAAACCCACATAAGGTGGCACCCCTTCACGAGGGCCTCTGCCTATGTCAGCCGTCTAGAACTAGAAGACCAAGCAATTAATAGATAAAACTGCAGCAGCAACCATTTAGAAACCCATACTCAAACTACATAATTATATGAAGAATACACAAGTGACTCACAAATGGAGCAAGCCCTTGCTTGATAAATATTGCTGAAGGAACAAATGGAGGATCACTCTTCCGCAGCACATGAAAGCAATCCACCTGCAACCACAACAAGACAACATGAATTAACAATTTAAGCCAACATATAATGTGATTAAACCCATGCTTCTAGGCTCTAGCAAAACAATTAGTTCTGTAAAGTAATTTGTATTGGCACTCATATGCCACAACCTTGTGACATTTTCAACGGATCAAAAGTAAAGAAAGAACTCTAAAATCCCAGCACATAGCAATTAGTGCGATAAGCTCGAAACTCAATCTTATATCAGAATCATAGGAAAGTTGGGAGTATTTCTGAGAAAACCTGAGAGTGGCATAAAAAGAATCTTAATTACAAAGTCAAACAGCATGCAAGAAGTCATCAAAAGAAATAACAGCATTCAAGCTGCAAAACTCACACTGCATTTCAATGACGATAGAAGATATAAACTAACTTGCAGAAACAGATAATCCGAGCGAGGTTAAAGACCACTGAACACAATTGTTAGTTCTTCTGTGCACTTGACATATACAGACAGAAGGAGCAGGATAGACCATGCATAACGAATACATAATATACCATTTCCTAGAGTCAAAAATATTAAAATGCGTAGCTATCTTCAATTATTGTGATCTCAGAAGATAAGCATGTATAGGTACTGGCATGCCCCAAAACGCACCCTAGCAAACATACACAAATAAGGAACGTATCAACTTTTACCAATGTGAGGGGAAAGATTTAGTGCATATACACTTACCATTGTCTCAAGATAATATTCTGGGGCATAGAGAAACAAGGAATCCACTTTGCTCAGAACCAGAAGTAGTTGGGCTATCCACATACATGTTGCATACATCCCTCTCTGCTTCCATCGGGAGAAAAGAGTTATCCGATACCTGCAGTTATTGACAGGTTAGCAGCCAACAAGACTGAACCTCAGGCCTATACCACTCCTAGGCATAAGCAATTGTCAACTTCATCATAACAATTCAAACAGACACCTCTAGAGGGACGAAGCTCTATAGAGCTAAGCAGCAAGAAATCTGCATCTGTAAGGAACCACCCTTTTTCCAGAGCCTGTTCGAAGTCCTGGACTCTTTTTTGTTTCAATAAATTGTAATAAATGACCTATTTGTATTTGATTTGAAAACAAAAAGAGTTGTTATTGAAAGAACAAGAATTAACAATTATAAGATATAAGAAGGATTCTTTCTAGTCTTATAATGTTCTTAGGATAGAGGATCAAATAATATAGAATCCAGCTTTCCAGGATTCAAAGAGATACCTTACTGGTCTGGCTTAGCTCGTTCACTCCTAAATGGGAAGATTTCTAGCTACTTAGACTTGTAAGACAAGAGCGACTATCAAGAACTAAAAGAAGACCTAAGCAGCAAGAAATCTGCATCTGTAAGGAACCACCGATGTGAAGTTTCAATGCATCCTACACTAGTGGCAGAGACTAATAGAGACATCAATTAGTTCACAGTTGCACAAACAATTAACAAGTTCCAGCATAAGGAACCCACACATTAATCATATTGTCAGCAAAGAACGCCACTGTGGGACTTTCGTTATAGAGAAGAACTGGAAAAAGAAAACACCATGCAATCAACAAACACTCTCCTCTCCTGTCTTTCCCTTCAAGTCTCAATTTTGAAGAACTATTTTACATCTGTAGCACACCTTTTACCCTGAGAACAAAGTTCAAATTATAAATTCGTGACCTGCTAAACCGAGAGCAGATGATTCCATGTAGATGGCAGAACAACTCAGTTATAGCAACAACAAAAAAAAATATCCAGAAATAAGCACAAAGGGAAAGTTTTTAATAGAAAAACCATGACAATTTCCACAAACTTGCTGACATCAAGATAGAGTATCTCACATTATGAAACATTAAAAAAAGCATTGGGCCACAAGTACAGTATGTTTCACTATATGCTCACACCATAACTTAAGTGAAAAAGAACTTAAAAAGCAAAAAAAAAAAATCAACAGTCATACCATGTACAATGTCTGACACAATCAATTACTTCTTCTCGATAATCATTACGAACTTCCTTCAAGCGCCTTAGTTGTTCACTGCAAGGTCGTTCCCTTATTTGTTTGTCAGTTTCTTCAAGGAGGGCTACAGATTGTGACTGATGAGACATGTAATATGATGCCTGCAAACGTAAAATATTCACCATTCAGAGAAGAAAATGTCGCTGGGCAAGACCAATTGGTAAAAAGATTTTCATGCAAGGCAGGGACGGCAAGCAAAATCCCAAGAGCCCAAGACAAGTTCAGCTTCCAATACCAATTATTTAGAGCGCCTGTTCCCAACATTTTGACAACCACATCTTTCTTCTTGATAAAAAGAAACATCCCCATTTTATTCCTGCCTCAGTTCATCTTTTGTCCAGTAAACACTATATATTCCAAACCAGGACACTAACAAAATGCAGCCAACATCATATGCCTTCGTTGCAGATTTCAGGAAAATGTTCAAGATTGTGGAAATGACCATGAAAAACATACATATATTTACGTCAGAACAATTCTAGCAAGAGAGTCTCACCTGCTTAAAATTTGGGGCAACGCCTATATGATACAACAAAAGTAAAGTATCCAGAAGCTCCTCTTCTCTGAGGGTAGCACAAGACATGTTAAATTCTCTTGGTACTATCCTTAAATTCCGCAATGGGCGATAATCAAAGTCTGCTTCAGATTGATCACTTGTACTAGGTTTGTCCACTATCTCATCATTCAAACTTCCAGTACTGCATTCTGCAGCAACATGAGCAGACCTCTCCCCCATTGGGCTACAATGGACACGAGAACCTCGAGGCGCATATCTAAGCGAATTCTTAGAAGTCCTTGAAAACTCAAAATCATAACATGAACAACAACAGGGTTTCTGAATGGTATTATGTGTTACTCTGGTTTCTTCATCATCCGCACAGCCTTCCTCCCACCGAATGACTTCGTCTTCTTGATCACTTATGGGATGAGATTTCGACAAATGACTAAAAGATCCTCCAAGCCTGGAGATGTCAGTTCGATGAGAATCATTCTTCAGAAAGAGTTCTACCGGAAAACTCTGGTCTCCCCCTCTATGCAAAAATCCAATATTATGCCCATTTTTTCCACCTACATCCCTCATGGCAAACCCCTCAGATAACAAATGAAGAATGACAGTATATAAAGAAACAAGCACAGAGTTGCTTGAGACTCCTGGAGGTGGCACATTACGGTCTGCTCCCCTGTTCTTCAACAGAAGATTCTGCAGAAACGTCCTAAACACTGAGCCAGGAAACTGAGGAGGCAGTGACGGTGGCAGAAACTGAATAACCAAGAGACAAAGCTCCCTATGCTTCTCTTCAATCTACAAAGGAACATAAGATAACAAGACCTAGAAGATATTAGATACAAGTCAGAGATGAACTGATACCATCGCCTATGGTGAAACCACAAGAGTAACAGATGAGAAATGACATAACTTGGTGGGGTCACAACTGGTTAGCAAATCTTCAAAAACAGGGGTATCACGGGTACCACTACGACCTTTGATGTGATACATATTGATCACATAAGCAAGATATAGGATTACAAGTTTTCGTGAATCAAGACACATCATTTGTGGCTTTCAGTTCCTGCCTTAGCCCCCAACAGCATTTTATGGCTTGCTTAAAAGATCAAATCCAGTTAACATGGACTAGGTCAGCCTCCAAATGAGAACCATCTTTAGAGCCACATTGAAGCTAGAATCAGGATGTTAACCCACCTCTGAACCTCAGTTGAATGAAAATATCCATTTCAACAGTTTTAAGAATCATTAGACATTCAAATAATCCAGTCTAATGAAACTATGGAATTATGCATCTATATCAGCACAGCCCTAACAAATGATAGCTGAAATGAAAATGAGAAGCAGCAGTGTCAAGCAGGGATTCAAAAACAAAACAAAAAAAAAAGCCTCTGCCACCAGGTAAAATTATAAAAGCCTTATTTTTCTTTCTTTCCATACTAATCCGAAATTATAGCATCTGAAATTCTTGACTTCTAGTAAGATTTTTATTTATCACAGGGCATACCTTACTGATTGCTTCAGATAATGCTGTTGTTGTCAACATCATGCTACCTTCATAAGCAGCATCCTCGTATGAACCAGGCCACCATACAGAAGGCATCATACACTGCAGATCCTGCTTGTTCAGATTTTTTTGTGATAGAAAACCTTCGAATAAGAACTCAAAATCGGATGATTTCCACCAGAGTACCATCAATTCTCGCCGCCTCAAAATATGGCATGCCAGGGAAAGATAAGGATAGGATCCTGAGTAGGGGCAGTCAGTCAATACCAATGGGGCTGTCTTGCAGGCACTTGAAAGTGCATTAACAAGGTGCTGGAACACCATCTGTGACTCCTGATATTCTAGAAACACATCAGCAATTTTGTCCAAACTCAAATATTCATGTGGTGCCTGCATTCTGAAGACCTCTAACAGGAATGTAAGAAAAGAACCCCAAGCTATATACTCCATGCTACCTGCTTCGGCCTCAAGTACAGTGAACATTACCTCACATATTCCACGAGAAACAGGATAATACAACTCCTCAAGTGAGACAAACCTCTTCAATCTCCTGAATTTGGCAGTCAGAAAACTATTGGAACACTCCCTGGATTGCATATCCAACAGCCTTGATAAGCAGCTAAGCAATTGTGTCGCAAGAATATTGGCAGACGGAGGGGCTTGGAGAGCAAGAAACCCCTGAATAGGGTACTTAAATGGCCGTGCCCCAAAATTCAATTCACAACGCTCACCCTGAGAAAGAGATATTGCTGGATGGTACCCGAATCCAGGTCCCATTTTACGGATACCACGAAATGCCACACCAAGACACGCACCATTTCTGTAAAATAGGATCTCATCAAGGTCCATGTCAATGCAACATCCAATAACATCACCAACAACCCAAGCCTGACCGTATGGCTCAGCATCTTTGTTCCACTTACTAACCCTTTTCCCATCAAAAGCATACGAATCATCTGCATCACCTACACCTTTATGGTCAGTGAAAGGACAAGATCGAGTTGCCCATCCAAGCTGCTGAACCCCAGAAGTTTCCAGAACGACCTCATACATCCATTTCCCTTTCCAAACTCTCACATTAGCCCTCATACTACTGAACATTGCTAAGCTCTCAATAAGCAGTGGCGGTTTAATGATTCTAATGTCACCACAAATGCTCAATTCTTCAAGCCCAACAACATGAGATCCACACCCATTTTCAATACAAATCCCTTCCCTTTCACTGGTCGAACTAGAAGGATTTGGATTCAGTGTAGCCATCTCATTCTTTATCAAAGCACAAACTAGCTCCTTGTCTGCAGGGCCAGTAATCGTACCAAGCGATCTGTGAGGGAGACCGAAGATATACTCAAGAGCTCGTTCCACAGTCTGATCACCGAAATCATCAAAACAAGAAACAAGTCGACTTTTTGACGGATTCTCCTTCTCCTCCTCACCATTCAATATCACAGCCAAACCAGAAGATAGCCCACCACCTCGCGCACTATCTTCTGCCATTTCATACAAGGGGCAAACCCCACTATCCCCCCAAAACAACCAAACCCCACTTCCTTGAACGTCAAGTTTGTTCTTCAAGAAGATGCAAAATCTATTTCCAACAAATCCACTTCAGAAAGCTGCTCTGCCTACATCCATAACTCCATCCTCCAGACCCTGAAAACTTCAATAGTTCAACAAACAAACATCTTAAGATAATTTATTTCAACATTTATTAATAAGTACGGAAACACGGGACTCATCAATTACCATCAACAAACAAAATACAGAATTGCTAACGTATTAATATTTCATTCAGCTCCCTACTGAAAGAAGAAGAAGAAGAAGAAAACAGCTGCAAACAAACTCAGTCCTTCTCCAATTAAGTAGGACAACCGAAAAAAAGAGATTCCGCCATAACCGAATTCAAAGCTTTTCACTCCCTCGCTCTCATTTCTCCCCGTGTAACTCCCACACAACCATTCAACCGAGCTCGAAGAATTGATTCAAACAAATCCGCCACCGTCCCCGACGGTTCCAATCCAAGCCAACGGAGAGGACAGAAGAAACGCCAAACCGAATAATTAAATAATTAATATAGGCACGAAGAACTCACACATGTGTACGCGGCGGCGCCGTGCTCCTCACGCTCTCTCCATCCGGAGGTGCGGCTGCGGCGGCGGCGGCGAGCTCGTCATCTCGCTAGGGGTTTCTCTCTGCCGGATGCAGCAACCATTAGGTGCGAAGGAGGAATCGAATTCGAATGTAGAGAGAGAGAGAGAGAGCGAGAGAGGGGTTGTATCGAATAAAAAGTTGTTTATTCAGAAATGTTTAGAGAGATAAAGTGACGGGCAGAAAGGGGGAAGAAAAGGAAATATTGTATTCCTCCCTCCACATCGCACATGTAGAGAGAGAAAGAGACGAAAGGAGAAGAAGTGTTGAGCAGTAAATACGATCTGTCTCTCTCTTCTGGTTACTGCGATGATTTCCCGTTTTCTCTTTTTCTCTTTTTTTTTCGTTACTTTTTTTTTTTTCAAGGATGCCAAAATTCGAGGAGGCGAAGCCGTCCGCCGTCCGCCGGCGGGGAGTGGTGATGCGGACCCGAGCCACTGAGTGGGCCTTTTGACCCGAACTAAACGGAGAGAGTCATAACCGGTTGAACCAAAACCAGGGTCAGGATTGAAACCGGACTTATTTATTTGCACCGATGGATCGAATGCTGGGCGAAACCGAACCAGGGAAGGCGTTTTGGCGCGAACTGGCGCAGAACGGCAGAAAAGGGTGTTCTTTTCGCCGAATAGCGCGGTTTATAAAATAATAATTAAATATGCTGACGTGGGCAGAATGCTAAATTGCACCGGTGGCGGGTATAGACAGAAAGGCAAGGGGGAATAAACAGAGAAGGACGAGATTTTAGTGACGGAAAGCCGCCATTTTACTATTTCTCCAAATTTTGGTTTTGTGTTTCTATTCTTTATGACAAACAAAAGCTAAATTATACTGAATGATATTAAAGTCATAACATCAAGGAATTTAATTTAGTTTTTATTTTACAGATAAATATTTTATTTTTGATATTTTTACTGGAGACGCGATTACTTGACCAATATATCGATCCAGGTTGCTCATAATAAGAAATTTCATTAGTTTTACACTTAGAACTACTATGGTGATCAAGTAAACAACATTGGTATCTTCTCTCGATTTCTATTGGAACAAATAAAAGTTACTCTTGAGTCAAAGTGATAAACTACTCAATCCACATTTTAAGTTTGTGAACCACTTGACTGATTTAGGTTCGACCGGTGACTCAATATCATTTCTTGATTTTATTATATCTTCCTGTGATTTCTGTTTTTATGGCATTAAAGGGGAACATCTTTATCTAACTCGTTACCCTAAAGAACAAGGCAAACTATACCTAGAGGTGCTAAATCTTCCTAGATTTAATATCTTTATTTAATTTTTCCTACTCAGCTAGCTAGGAAGTTAAATACCCTTTGTTTTTTTTATTATTATTAATAAAATTGACCCATTGCTCCAAGTTGAGGGCATGCAATTATTGCTTTAAATAGTTGAATGTCCATACATGTCAAATAATTTTGAGCTTCTTCAACATAAAAGTCCAGTTTTTTTTTGTGTGATTCATGTTAGTCAAAGATAAATAGTAATTCAAGCTTGTGATTGATTTGTCCGACGGATTGATGTGACCGATAAGTTAATTGAATACGTCCAGTTGAGAATTATAGTATCAGAAAATGCATTCTTCGACGACATACGGTTGTTATCGTGTGGAATACTATTGACAATATATATCACCCGAACTATGTGTCTTGAATCACATGTATGCTAGTATATGATATAATTTATAAGATTCATTATTAAACATCTTTCAACAACTAGATTTATTGGGGTCAACTGGTCTTGACATGATATCATAATCTTCTATAATCGTGAAATCTTATATTCGAATCCCGATAACCTCTACGAATAAGCACATAATATCCGATACTTGTACAAAGGGCAGTGCACATGGCAATTGGCCGTGGTGGTGCGCCTGCTGGGATGCGCATCTTCTATTCTTAACCCCTTTTTCGCCGCTATGATCCATAAAATAAAATATTCCGTCCCATCTAGTGCAACAACAACCTCCCACGGTGGTGGCGCACTGTGCAAACAGAAGTCGTCACCTTCACTATTGTCCGGACTCCGGACCCAAAAAAGGCAACAAAGAGTTCTTTTAGGTGATTCGAAATCACTAGAAACGTTACAGATTGAGTTTTTGGTTCTTCGGACTTTGAATATGTTGTTCGAAATTTTCGAGTAGAACTCTTTTATTAATGACGAGAACAACTCCAATTACTACGAAAGTACTAAGGGGTCGTTTGGAAGTTGCGATTGTTAGTGTTGTATTTGTTAAATACATGCATTGTCCACAATACAACGTTTGGAAGTGTCAAGTTGCAAAACAATGCATGTATTGTTTTGTGTGGGTCCCACCAACAATCAACAAAAATGAGTGATAGTACAATCTCAACTAAAAGTTGAGATTGTTGTGATTGTTGGTTTAATAATTGAGCATCTTTACTTTTTCCAATTATGTTCATAGTTCTTTTTGTTTTATATTAAAAGTGGAGGACAAATATGACATTTCCTTATAAAGTAACTTTATAACAATCAATTCATAAATTATAATCTCAACAACCAAACAATGTAATTTCAAAATGCATCTATTGTATCAATGCATGTATTTATATGATAGTGATTCATAACAATACAACGATTTAACATACGCAACTTCCAAACCACCCCTAAGTTGAAAGAAAGAATATACAGAGTAAGCTAGTTTTTTTTCATTGATCAACGATAATAGTCCAACAAATGAATCATGTCGTTATGTATACAACCATGACCCCTAACCGTAGATAACACCCTCGGCCATACATATACCACTAGTCTCGAACCTTGAGGTCTCAGCTTCGAATTTCTTAAATAGTATCTAACCATAAAAAATAAAAGACTGATATCACCCTTGTAAAAAAGTGCTCGACCTTATGTGGATTGACCCTACCTTGTTTGCTTGATGGATTTGGTGATGGATTTGCGGATCGTTTGCTTCATGGATTTGAAAATGAGGGTTCTGGTAAAACCTGGGTTTTGAAAAACCATGGATATATGATGGATTTGGTGGCATTATAGATTTGAACAATTCTATTGTTTGCTTGATGGATTTGATTATGGACTTTGTTTGATTAGATTTGTGGATATTAAATACAAATTACCTTGTTACCCTTATTTAATTATATTTCTATATTATACTCCAAATCTTTAATTTAAAACTAATCCAAAACATAGAAAGAAATTTTAAACTCTTCACCTCTATGTGAATTACTACAAATATAGAAATTTATTATAATTTGGCACTAATTAAAAATTCGTCTAATAATATACGCAATATTATGTGTCAATTACAACCAATTGTTCACTTTATTACTACATCTCATCATCTTCTTGCTAACTTACCGATGTGGAATCCGACAGTCAATCAAATAATAATTCATAAGATGAGCATAAAGTGTTTCTAGGTGAATCTACATTCATAATTAAATAAAATATGATATTATAAAACGAAATTATAAATTCTCATATTTATAAGATACGAAATTATAAAAGTTTACAGCTGCATGACCATTGAATTAAAGTAGGACAAATTTGTAACTAAAGAAATAATCAAGGGTAGAAAGGTAATTTACCATCATGGATGTTAATCCATCACTCAAATCCCACCTCAAGAGGTGGAACTTCCAAGTCTGTGGGGTCCACGGATTTGGAACCCCAAATGAAGTGACCCCACAAATTCCATCTTCCTAATTCCCTAAGGCAAACGATGGATTTCGGTTCAAGTCCATGATGTATATATTTCTATGACCAAATCCATCACCAAAACCCTCAAGCAAACGACCCCTTGGTGAAAGATTTGGATCCATCATGTACTTTGTCCAAAATCCATTGTTTGCTTCATGCATCTAGGGGCAACAAATCCGTGGGTCCCACAAACTTTAAGGGTTCAAATCCGTGGACCCCACATACTTGAAAGTTCCACCTATTTAGGTGAGAATTGGTCACGGACTTTGAAGTCCACCGTTTAAGACCAAATTACCCCTCCTATTTCATTTGTCTTGTCATACCAATAAGGGCAATAAAAGATAATTTTCACTTTATACATATAAATCTAATTAACTAATTTCATCATGAAATATATGAAACAAACAATGGTATTTTTCAAGTCTATGATAAACCCAAAACCCTCATATATCAATGATTTTACAAAACCCAAATTTATCAAAACCTTCATTTTTCAAATACACGAAGCAAACTACCTCTAATTTACTAACTCTCCACAACTTGCTCTACATCTACATCAACATAATAATAACTAACATATCCTCCCTATCTACCCTACTATAGCTATTGCCGACACTCTCTAATTACAATACTTGGGCATAATAAACACTTGCGTT